TTTCCCTATCTCTTTTAGAACCTTCTGAACGTTCTGATCTCTCCAAAATATCCATACCATGCCTACGATGTCTATGCTTATCTCTATGTCTATCCTCCCCACGATCATGATGTCTAGATTTTCTTTCCTTTTCTTCCCTACGATCTCTTCTATCACTATGTTTCTCTCTCCTCCTTGATGAATTAGATTTGTGATGACGGACAATAGCCTGTGGTGGTTTTATATCCAAAGAGTCCGCTGTATCTCCCCCATCCTCTTCTGAAAAACTTAAAGTATACTTTTCTCAAAACAACTAAGCACATAAAATTGATGAGTTAGAATACGAGAATTTCTTTTCATTTAATTAGTATATAGAAAAGGATTTTATATTATTGAAAATCATATATTTAATTTTTCAATTATTTGTTATATAGAATATTATTTTAATTCAATGACGCGTTAAATATTATTAAATACGTATTGTTTCTCCTTTTTACATTAGGAAAGCAGAGGATAACAGCACACACTGAACAAAAAATTTATTTAAATTATTTAATTCGAAAATTGAGGTTACTTAAAGTCAAACATATTATTCAATACCTAAAATCATCCATATCCTTCGAAGGGCTTTTCTTTATTTCTCCGTCTTCGCTTTGATTATCAATATCCATGTCCAGTCTATTTTCTGACATATTATAAGCAACTATATTCAGTTTTGAACAATGGTTTACCATACATAATTGTAAGTGAAAGGAAAATGAAACTTAAACATTTACAAATTTACGAAAATAAATTAAATTTTATATATAACACGTTATTATAATAATTACAGCACGAAAATACAACAATGTTTTTGGATATTAACTCAGCTCGTGATCATACTTTCTTCGAGCCTTGGTCCACGAGGAAACAAACAAGTAGTATCAACGATAGATTTATTGCATTACATCCAGTCTTCAATCTTTTTCTATAGATATTCATAAACCGTTGATAAACTTCAGTATACTTCATAATACAACAAGATGCATTCTTATTTATTCAGTATATAACAAATTGTTTATTCATGTATCCTTTTAATTGATATTTAATTGTATTTTAAATTTCGTATCATAAGGAATAATACAAAAAAAAATAAAATATCTCCTAAAATAAAGTACAAATATTGCAAAAATTATATTGGGAAAATAGTAAGAGTATTAGAAAAAATATTTTGTATAATATAAATGGAACTTTAACACATGAATACTTGCCCATAGACGGCACTTCATTCGTCATAAGTACGTGATAGAGAAAAGTACGTTCCATGAACAAATCCATTTTCTGTAAGTTTGACAGATGATCAACTGTCAGTTTTTAAAAACTTCGAAGGGGTAACGTATTAATAAAAGCATTATAATGGAAGCAGTACCAAGATTGCCGATGATATCCTTTCAATTAAAAGTTAGTCCAGAGCCTACTACGTTTGGACCAAAGTTAAAGCAGGTACAAATAAATTACATTTTAAGTTATAATATTTTAGTAATTATAAATTAATGAGTAATTTATGTTTTTATTACTTATAAATTTAAACTATTATTCTATGCTTTTTTTTTATCTAAACAAGCAACATAATTATACATTAATTTATTTTAGTTTATTAATCAACATAATTCAAATTATAAATATGTTTGACATGTTTTCTATTTTAGTATATACGCGATTTTTACAATAAAGATCCAGGGACATTTACACATGAAATACATCAATTAGAAAGTTTACGTGCAGTGGCTATACGACCACCCATTGATGTAGCTGGTTGTTCATTATTGAAAAGATATTATTGTCAATTGCATTTCCTTCAAAGTAGATTTCCTATGGGGAAAGATGGTGCAGCAGCAATTACATTTACATGGTAAAATAATTAAAATTAATAATTAATAGTTATTGATATTAATGACCTGAACACATTTAAATTTAAATAGGAGAGATACATATGCAAATATGGTTTGTTCACTGGCAAATATCCGTTTTGAAATAATTTCAATCTTATATAATATTGGTGCAATGCATACTCAATTAGGAGCACTTACAGAAAGAACATCAGCTGATGGGATGAAGATGGCCTGTGCTCATTTTCAGTGTGCAGCATGGGCATTTGAGCATTTAAATAATAGTTATCCACAACCATCTGGTGTAGATTTAGCTCCAGAGTTAATGACATTTATGCATCAGCTTTGTTTAGCTCAAGCTCAAGAGTGTATATTAGAAAAAAGTATGCTTGATAATCGTAAACCCACAATTGTAGGTAAGTATGAAAGAATTAAAAATTGCATAAATATGTTAAATTTTTTGTGGCTTTAACTGGTCTACTCTTGTATATCATTCTACAAGATATATCTATCACGCAGCAAAAGTCGCAAGACAAATAGTGGACTATTTTAATCTGGCATTAACTACACTTGAAGATGGAGGGGTAGAGGATGGAATTATATCAGATACAGTTGGTACTAAAATTTATAAGGTAAAGCTTAAATTATGTTTTATTATTATATTATGGAATATTATAAACTTGATTTTTATAGGGTTGGAAACACTACCTGAAATTTAAAAAAGCTTATCATTTGGCAGTTACATATTTATATCAAGGTTTAGCTGCTGAAGAGCAAAGAAAAATGGGAGAAAGAGTAGCATTTTATAATGCTGCATTAGCTTCTTTAAATGAAGCACAATTAATTTATTCAAATATTCCTGGAGAGAAAACAACCATAGAAGAAGCACTCACATTTACAAATGATGTGATAGAAGGAAAACGTAAAGCTGCTAAAAATGAAAATGAATTTATATATCATGAGGAAGTACCAGAAAAAGAAACACTACCCACTGTAAAGGGAGCTCCATTAGTTAAAGGAATATCTTTTAGTATTAATGATCCTGAAGTTTCAGGTCCAGATATATTTGCCAGGTAAATACTTTTAGATTAATCAAACATTTTACATTTAAGTTTTTTATGCAGTATATAATATTTGATACAGATTAATACCAATGAAAGTACATGAAGCAAGTTCCTTATATTCGGAAGAAAAAGCAAAAATATTACGTTCTGTCGGTGGCAAAGTCGAAGAAAAAGACCAGCAATTGAACACCTACTTAACTTCCTTAAAATTAGAACATATGAGTTTATGGGATCCTGATGCTCAAACATCAGAATGGGAACGTTTACCACTTCCTGATGAATTGGTAGAAAGGTGTGCAGCATTAAATGCAAAGCAACATGTTATTCAAGAGTTAGTCGATATAATGGGAAAATTATCAGACACTAGCCAAGATGTTGAGAAAATATTAAAAGAAATTAAGAAACTTCTTCTCGATGAAGAACAAAAAGAAAAAGAATATCAAGATACAGTTGGAAAAAGACCTCCATCGATAGTCGCTACTGATTTAACTAGGGAAGCTAAAAAATATGAAGAAGCCCATAATAAAGCTTTAGAAAGTAATCACGCTCTTCATAAAGCAATAACGATGCATGTAAAAAATTTAAAAATACTTTCTCAACCACTTGCCGAACTTATTGCCCATATACCTTCACCATGTGCATATCTTTCAGAACAAAATACTGAAAAATCACATAGCGCGATAGAACTCGAACGAATGCATACTAAGGAATTAAAGCGCATTTTAAGTAAAGTTGATGAAATGCGTAGACAAAGAAACGAATTGCATACAAAATTACGTGATTCAATTGCGCAGGATGATTTAACACGTTTACTAGTTACTGCTACATCTGATTCTGGACCTTTGGATCGATTATTTGCGGATCAACTTAGTAAACATCAAACTCTAGTAACATTAATAGACCAAAACCTTGCTGCACAAGATAATATTTTAGCAGCTTTAACAGATGCATATGCTCAAACTGCAAATGTACGAAAAGGTGTCGAAGAAATATTAAAACGTCGAGAACATACTATTTCTTCTTTGATTGCCTCTTATGATGCTTATGAAGATCTATTGGCAAAGTCTAGTAAAGGTCTCGAATTTTATAGGAAATTAGAAATAAATGTTTCAAAACTACTTCAAAGAGTGAAAAGCACTTGTAAAGTACAAGAAGAAGAACGCGAACATATACTGGCACAAGATAATAATAAAAATTCTCAAGAAAAAGTCGATCCGGTAATACCCGTTATTTATGATCAGAGTCGGAATCGTACTGGCAGTGGCCTTAAATTAAAAGATTACTTAAACAATAGGCCAGAAAATGTTCCAAATCAATATTATAATGTGTATAAAGGGCAGGGTAAACAAGTTCAAATAGATACCACAGCAAAGTCATATTTAAATGACACGGTAAATAAGACTGCAATGCATTCTAGTGGAGTATCTGCATTAGATGCTATGTCATCTACAAAATCTATACAACAATATTATCCTGCACCATATGCGGATTACAAAACAAATTTACCTTATTCACACGAAACTTCTACGTATAATGAAAATGCTGCTTTAAGTCAAAACTATATACAAATAAATAGTTCGGATACTGTAAGTACTTATCCGCAAGTAATTGGAACAATTACAACAACAGATACTACAGTACAGTTTCCAGTAAATTCTTTTGTATCTAATGGACAATACTCTACAACTTTAGATGGACAATATAAGTATTCTGCCAATGCTCAACCACTTTATAACTTTCCTAGCAATACATTGCAATATGAAAGTTATCAGCCTTCTGTTGATTATGCTGGATATAATGCCGCACAGCAATATCCTTCGAATCTTGATAAGACTGCTAGTGTGACTAAAAATGAGACATCATCCCAAACATCTACAATAACACAAACGTCTGTATCTTTACCAAATGCAGTTAATAAGATGGCCGAAGTACCAGCACATCTTTACACGACTGTAACTCAACAATATATAGCTGAACCACAACAAAAGCTCTCTCAAGAATCTGTTTCAACTGTAAGAAATCAGCATGTATTACCAACGGATAACACACAAATACAAAACTATCTTCTTCCTCAAATTAGTCAAAATGAAATACCATGTACTCAAAATTACGGTGGTGCGATGTATTATAATCCATCTGAATTACTTACACAACAAGTCACATCGTGTCAAAGTACATCCGAAACGACCAATATTTCTGTCACTAACCATTATATGCAAGCACAGTATGTAAGCACGAATATTCCTCAATCTGTTCATTCTACTACTTCTTTAACTGTGCCTGTAAATGATATGAGTACTTCGTATTCTTCAAATTTACATAGTTCTAATATTGCACAATATCCACAACAGAGTAATATAGACCAAACTAAACAAATTTATACAGATAAAGGGTATCAATATGGATCACAAGCATCGACTATTGATGCTGCTTACCCTAGTACTTATGGTTTACAGCAAGTTTGTAGTATTTCATATCCACAAACTATATTATCTACGGATGCTTGTAACACATATACATATACAAATTGTTCTACTAATACAGAAATGATTCAGAGTCATGCTAAGTCTTCAACAACCATGCAAAATTATTCACAAACATACCAATATCCACAACAATCACATTACTCTGGATATAGTGGTTATTCTCATGCCTACAATCAAGGATATAATTATATGCAAGGAAATCAAATAACCATTCCAATGACAGAATCCTATGAAAACCAAATGGGATATACTTACAATTCTACTAGTCAGTGTTATGATTACAATCCTAGTAATGTTCAAACTTCACAACCCACTCAGATATCACAACAACTTTCTGAATCAGTATCACAAATAAATACTGGCATTAATAATATTTATCAACAGCAAGAAAGTAATGCAAGGTATACGAATGCTAGTAATAATTCCATGGTTAGTCAAACTCCATCTTCTCAATATTCAGGACAAACCTATCAGACTCAAGGTGCAACTGATATTTATTATACAACACCATATGGTCTTCAAATGCAAAATCAAAGTAAGTATCAGAGAGTAATCCTTTTACATTAACTTTATAATTGTTGAAATTTTATTTAATTTTTTTTTTTTAGCATCCACTAGCCGAACTGATAATTATACTAATTATAATCAAACATATATGCAAGCTGTTAATAATGGAACTAATACAACGACAAGTGCAAATCCTACTAAATCCACAACAAAGTCAGAGCAGTCCAATGTAGATTTACTTGCTGATCTTGATGTCACTATTAATCATGCACCTTTAGTACCAGAAATACGGCCCGTTAATAAAATTCAAACACAAGACGAAGCTGCGACGAAAGATGCTGCTAGTGATAACAAAAAGATGAATAAAGATGATAAAGAAAAGATCATTGAAAATCAACAAAGTAACATACAATCTACTGTTACTGAAGATAAAACGGAAAGCGAAAATTTACAAATTGTATGGGATACATGGTACAATGATGTACAGCCTAAGCAGGATCCTTTAGGTGATCCGGTAGTACTACAAAAATTTATCAATGAAGTTGAAAAATATGAAAAATTTGTAGATAGTTTACTTGTTAAAACTTTAAGTGGGGCGACTAATCTTGATATAAAATGGAAGGAAGTTCAAGAATATGAAGTAGGATTGTTTGAATTATTTATATGATATATTATTTTGTTAATTGTGTTATAAAGTAATATATTTGAATTTCAGGAAAGAGAAAGTGGAAAACAATCATGTACAGTAGCATTAGCTCATTCTTCAGAAAATAGAGTAATGGAATGTATCCCATATGATACAACAAGGGTGCAGATATCTTCAACAGATATTCCAAATTATATTAATGCTTCTCATATATTGGAAATTACACAGTGGATACCAACAGCGTTTATTATTACTCAAGCACCATTATTGGATAAATTAGAAATATTTTGGATGATGATATGGGAACAAGAAAGTGAATTAATTGCATGTTTAATATCTGATGCACAGTTAAATGGAGAGATATATTGGCCTAGAGATGAGGAAGATATTTTGAACATTGGTAGTTTTGTGATTTCATTAAAAAAAAGAATAAACCATGTATCCTATATCCAAAGAGTTGTTTCTGTGCATAATACTAAGAAAAACTCAGAAAAGACTGTTGTGCACATGCAATTTCTCACATGGCCTTCCAAGTAAGTTTTTAATATAAATAATATCAAGTCATTTTATGCATATAATCGTCATTTTATTTTTCAGTGGTTTTCCTAATAGTCCAGGGGCATTGCTTACTTTTTCGACAGACATAATGACGGAACAAGCATTAAGACGTTGTATGAAACCTGTAGTAGTGCACTGTCTGGATGGTGGAGCATTAAGCAGCTTATTCTTAGTAGCAGCAGCAACAGTGTGTCATATACGTGCAGGCTGCGGAATAGTCAATGTACCTCTTGTATTCAAAGGTCTTCTAAAGTGCCGTAAACAAGTTGTAAATAAAGAATCCTTACTATTCGCGTATCAGTTGGTATTATACCACGCTCAAGATATTTTAATGAAACGTAAGAACTATTGTTCTTCATATTGTTAATATAACTCGATCGAATTAATTAAAAACAAATTTTGCTTCTTGAATAATTTTATAGGTGGAATTTTATCGTCTACTCGCTCGACATTTGAAAATTTTGAAGGATTAAAAGGTAGTAAGGATAAAGCGTCAAGAAAGATGCATCCTTCTGACGATTTCCTACAAAGTCTTGGCATTAACACTCAACGATCAGATATTGAACAAGGTATTGAACAGTAATATTTTTCACAAAGAAAAGTATAATGATACTTGTTAAACTTTAGGTCGACAAAAAGGTTCTACAACTAGTGGTACAATACATTCAACTACGACGTCGATTCAGGAAAAAGCTAAAGAAGGAGTAATCGATCCTCTAAGTCAGCTGGATCCTTTATGGTCTATTAGAAGATAATCAAACAGATCTGCAAGTAAAATTTTATTATGCACCAATAAATAAATTTATTATTTAAATGATCGTTTGCATTCCTACGTTTCTTAAATTAACAATATCGCTAAGAGTAAGATAATTATGATAATTGTATAAACATTGCAACTCGTATTAATTCATATAAATAACTTGATATTTCTGAAGTAAAAGACACTTATTGTTCAGGCGTTTCGTAATCTTTAAGTTTTAAGGATTTTACAATCTGTAAAATATATCAAATAAAATGTATGTATGAAAAACAAATGTTTGTACATATTTATTTTTTCATCTTCACCAGGAAATCATGTATTCACATGTCCACAAAACAAAAATTAATATTACACTTTTTAAGCAACATGATATAAGGCATGCGTTTCTAGACATACAGATAATAAATTGGTACATATTTCTAATATATATATACATTATATATTAATTTACTTATATATTATATATATACATTATATATTAATTTACTTATATATTATATATATACATTATATATATTGAGTATATATATATATGTATGTACCACAATTCAAAATGACTCAATAGTCAATTGGTATTATTTTACACTACACAATGCTACTGAGAATTGCGAGAACTTCAAACTTTACAATATTCTAGTTATGAAAGAAATATATCTTTTTTAACATAAATTTGTTTTCCATTAAAACAAATAATACTGTATAAAATAAATTATTATATTATTAATTTTAATATGTATAAATAACAAATTTACTTTTTTATGTATTGCATAATTAAATACAATTACTTACGTGTGTATAGGAAGCAATTATGAAAATGATTATCTTTGATTCAGGAATCATTTAATAATTTAATGTTTAAAATAAATGCTTTTTTAAGAATATTCAACTTAATAAACTATACCCTGAATATTCTTTACCTTACAAATATTGATACATTTTTATCGACATTATCAACCTAAATGTTATTTTAATTTTGCAATTAAAATAAAGATTAATTCCACAAGAAAATTATTTCAGAAATTAATATAATTATATTTACTAAAATAACGTTTATAACAAGGCCCAAGTACGTCTTTTGTAAAAGTTACAATTACTTACTAATACTTAATGGAAATATGTAATTCTGTATTTAGTGCCATGTTGACATTTCATGAATAATTATAAAACTTATAAGCGAATGAAATTATGAAAAAGTTTACAGAGTGATAATTACATCTTTATTATTAGTCCATATCTTTTTTAAATTCCTCTGTTTCTTAAATCTTTCACTTTATAAATTCGGACAAGCCAATGTTCTGTAGTATAAGCTTCTTCTAACATATCTAACTCAAAGTCCTTATTACCAATTTCCATGTTTCTAACTCTATCATATCCAGAGGGTTTGCCTGTAACATAAAATAGTAAGTATAAAATCATTAAAATTGTACTTATTTTCAAATATCAATAATAGCAAATTACTGAAGACCTTACCTCCTTCTGTATAAACTTGACCGAATCTGTAATAACACATCTTATACATAAGACAATTGAGCAAAATTGGAGAACCCTCTTTGTCAACTCGAAATTCTCCTGCAGAATTATAATAATCCCACTCTGTTATAGATTTTCCTTTTTCAGTGCTTCCGCCAATCCGCACCATCCATAGGAACTTATTAATGTCTAAAATTATCATTGAATGAATTCTTAAACAGTTTTCATTGAAAATTTTATTTACTTCATATATTAATTGTAATACCATCTGATGAGTAGCCTGTAAGTCCTCCAAAAATAACAAGAACATAATTAACATCTAATTCTCTCATTATTTCATACGCTTTTTCCTCAGAGCTTGCCATTGCTTGACCGACTCTTGATATGTGAGTATTGTTCCATGTATTATTGTCTACTAAAATTGTACGATTCGCCATTGCTGTAATCTGATATCCATAATCCCACCAAGACATTACCTTAGCATTCTGTATTTAAAAAATGTAGCTGTAAACACTGTAAATAACAAGAAAATGATTTGTACAGCATTACAAAATTACTTCTGGCGTGTTCATGCGTAACCAATAATACGCTTCTCTAAAGTCATCAAAAATCATGCGACCACCATCCGGAGAACGTGCCGATAACACGATACTAGGTGAACTATAGGCTTCTGCTGTAACCCACGTACAGTGAATAGTATACGAAAAGAAAAGAATGCACATTACTGTTATAAAGAGTGTAGCAATCTGCAAATTTATATACATTAATACAAAATTTTATGAAAGATAAAGAATATTAAATGTGGTAAATATATTTATTACCTCGCTTCTAAGTATGTAGTTACTTTCAAATTTTTTTGATTTTTTGTCACTAACTTTTCCCCTTTCTACTTGTTTCATGTAAGTAACTAGTAAAGAAGAAGCTCCAATTCCACCCAAAATGCACATTACAGGAGCAAGAACTAACATTAAACGAACCATTACACCCTGCAGAGTTCAAAACATATTTGAATACTTATTTGAATTTCCCTTTAGCATACATTTTTAACAATCTTTTTTACTCACAGCAAAATATAGACTTGTAACACCATATAAAATGAGGAAAATATTCGAATCCGTTAACTTTGAGAAACAGAAATATAAACCTGATGGAAATAGAAATACTAAAATCTGAAGATCGAAATAAAAAGAACTCCATGATGTTGGCTGATGCTCCGAAACAGAAGCAATTATTGGTATATGATTTTTTGCATAGGATGGGTCCAAAAGAGAATAAAACCGACCAGTCCATGGAGATATTTTTCCTTACAAGAAATAAAAACATCTGAACATTAATATTTTTATTATTTAAAGAAAATATGTTATTTGCACTGTATATACCTGTAATAGTTAAAATAACACCCAATATAAATGAAATAGTAACTACAGAAATGACAAGACCACGAAATAATATTTCAAAATCATCTTGAGACATTTTACTACGGAAATAATCAACTAATGCGTGAATTTGACAAAGTCCAAAAACTCCCAATGCCTGTACAAAATACAAATTAGTTTTGCGGATAAGATTTTCATGTAAAATTAGAATGATTATATTTTGCACTTACAAGCATGTGTTCAGAGCTCTGGACAGGTTGAAAACCAACAAAGGATATTTGCATAGATAAAATTGTTCCCAAACAGTACAAAATACTGTATGCGGTATATATTCTATGAGAAAATCTTCCAGTCACCATTAAGGTCAATACATGTAATGGAATTAAATTAATTAAGAATACATAACCACCCCAAGAAGACACCATATAAAAATATGCAAGAGCAGCACAAGTTGCCCAACAAATTGCTCCAGTTTTAACTGCTTTAATCCACATGTAATATGTAAATAACATACAAAAAATAGCTATGCCTTCATTATCATAGGACCCTGCCACTGATCGTGATATATAACCAGGAACAATTGCTATCATAGCTGCAGCAAATAACCCTGATGCAGAATCCTAGAAATTAAACAAAATAGTATTTTTAATTTACTATACAATATATAATTTTGACTATAGTCAAAATAGTACACTTATTTAATATATTATTACCTTCAGTTCTTTGGTAAGTAAATAAGTAATAATTGTTGTTAAACTAGAAAATAATGGAGCAAGGAAGACACAAATAGTGCGTATATCTAAAGTAATATTTAATATCCATGAAAGACGGTATAATGCTGCTGATGTTATCATTAATCCAGGATATATTGTCCCTGTAAAATAAATTCAATTTATATTAATAATCTTATTCAAAGAAAACTACATGAATAAAAATTAACATAAAAGAAATATACCTCCAATTATCCTTCCAAGTGGATACCAAACACGATCATCAAACCAATTGTGAAAACTATAAAACCCATTTTCTGCTAAATACTTTGTTGTGCGGTAATTAAAATATGGATCAAATTCATGAATAACACTTTCAAATCTTAAGACAGAGAATAACCTTGTTGCAAAAGCTGTAAAAAATGATTATAATGATACAAAATATTATGGAAATTCATTTTATCCTAATTTATGAAACTTACATAAAATTGCTGCAAGAGATAATACAGTTAACTTTAAAAGAGTTTCCTGTTTCTGTGCAGACATACGCAAACCTCTTGTTTTCATCAATGTAGCCATATTGATGAAGTTATGAAGTGTTACTTTTTTTAACTAATTAAGTACCACCTTTGTGTAATTTATCTATAGAAGAAGAATGAAATGTATATTGTTATTTATCATTTTTCTAACTTTGATAAAAACTACAATTGTCTCACATGCGGACAACAGCTAAATATTAAAAAGAAATTGTATGTTAAAATTTTGAATATAGTATTATAAAATCGTATCAATAAAAGTTCTAACGAAAGACACATGGCATTTGTCATTTAGTAGCAGGTTATGCTTCTGTAAAAGTAGAGAATAAAAAATATTGAAAGTGTAATTAAGAAATTAATGCATAAAGTGGTAAATGTATTACTTCAATATGAAACAGCGATTACATGCTAAATAAACAAATTATATGAATCGGAATAACAGCCTCCCTAGGAATTGACCACGTACACAAAATTACCGGCCGGCGACATATGTATATTTTGTATCACATATTTGATCGTTCCGCATCGTACATTTATGTAGTTTTATGAATATTACATAGACCGTGATATAAACTTACAAATTTATGAACTTTATAATACAAGAAAAGTAATAAAATAACAATATTATTCAAATTACTAACTCAGAAACATCGCGACTTGAATGAAAAAAGCATAGATTGGAGTCTACTATTAGTAACGCTTCTTACACTTACAATAAAATAAAGCAAACTATTTAGTATTCATGTAAATACATTTGTTGTAATAAGAAAGAATTACGAGTTTGCTTTGTTCCTATGTAATGAATACTAATCGTATTTCTTATAATTAAATACTGATACCTAAATTAAATTTTTAAATGAAAAATAAAATTCTAGTGTGAACATGCCCCTTAGGTAGTAATCCTAAATAAAATACACTTACAACTACATGAGCATTTATATGTACTATCGTGTATTCTTATTCAATGGTTTATGGTTATCAATAAATCCGTCGTTCCCGCCAGAGGACCGGTATTTGTATTATGTTGCAAGAGATTTCTTTCTTTTCATTATATTTGAGTACAATATTTTGTTTTACCAGATTTGTGTTTTTGTAACGTTCCATTTATCGCAAAAAGATGTCCGAAGGTAATTTTTAATTCATAAAATTACCTACTTCTTTATTAATACATAGAAAATCTAACCTATATCACACAAATCATCATAAAACATTTAAATTATATTCATTGTTAACAATGTGCAATGATTCGTATATTTCACTATTGTATCATAGTATTATATAGTTGTAAGTTAATAGTTTAAGTATAAAAAAGTATTTAATTTAAACCAGTATCATATACTTGTTTTTTCATTCTCTTTTCTTTTAAACAATTATATCAATTACTAACAAATTAAAATTTATTCTACATACTCCATAGAAAACGGAACTACGGAGGATATGTGGACTCCATATAAGGAATTACAAAGTCTTGTGGAACGATATATTACATCTTCTCCAACAACTCATGATCTTCAGTATCATGAATTTACAGAAGCTTTACGTAATCATAGGCAAAATTTTTTGACACTTTTAAAAAATCCTGTAAGTGATTATATAATATCACATATTTAAGATTATATGAAACAATAAAAATATAAATTTTCATGTTATTTAGTTTAAGAAGTACTTTATTACAGCCTCCAAATGTGAATAGTAGAGAAGAAATAACAAAGGGAGCTACAGATGGTATTACACTTCCTGGTTTAGGATATCAGTTGTTATCGAAAGAATTGGTTAATGAAACCCTTATTATATCAGATATGTATGAACTTAACGAATTCATGGCATTGGATCTTCTATGCACTGCTCAATTGCAAATGCTTCATCATCCTGGTTTACCCAGAGGACTAACAGCTATTTTATTATATTATGATGGAAAGAAAGCACTTACAGGAACGTTAAGAATGCTTATACAAGCAAGAATGGGACATAGTTGGACAATTGATGCTCCAATTGCTCTTCTAAGACATATTACAGAATATACAAATAAATTGCAAGAAGATGGTTTATTAGATAGAATTTTATCATTGTTAGAAAAAATGGATCCTGTGAAAGAACAAGAATTATTAGAAAAGAATCGAGCATTAGGTGGATCAAAACATCGATATATGGTTATGAAACTTTACAATGATTCTAGGCAGGATTTAGCAGATATTTTGTATTTGTGGTCTGCCCAATCCTCATTGCCCAATCCAATTTTATTTCGTTTACTCTCTTTATTACAAACAAAACAAATGGAACCAGAAGCATATGAAAAAGGTTCAGATAAGGTTACTCTTGCTATTATTATGAGCATATTGAATGCAATCAATTTTAGTTCATTACATAGCCGTGAAAATGGTGAAGGTATATTTTTTAATCAATTGTAAATGTAATTTTTATATTGCAATTTTTAATATTATTTAACATACTTTTTCAGAATTGATCAATTCTATGCCATTGATTGCGGAAAAAGGAGCACATGAAGAATTACATCAAAAATTAATATCAACTAATGTGAATTGGGAATGTGCTGGATTACGTGGAATTATACAATTTGCCTTTGCAGTTGCTCTTACAACAATAAAAACTGCAGCTAACACACAGGTTTTAAATATTACCACTGAAGATGAGAGATTGTTGGAAGCAGCTTTAATAAACAAATGTTTTCATTTTATGGCTGAAATATTATTTAAAAACAAAGGCATATATTATGAAGAATTTTATCTCCGTTATTTTCACTCTCTTATATCCGATTTTATATTGTTGATGCCATTGAAAGTTAAAGATTTGCGAAGTCGAGCAGATGAATCTATGCGTTTGATCCAGGCATACCAACAAGAGGGTATTGAACCACCTTTAAATTTAGATAATCATTTTGAATATTTGATGTTAACAGTGGCAGAATTATATAAAAAGGATCCTTTAAAACTGGAATTAGTCATGGATTATTGGTGTCACCACACTGATTCAACACACGCTTCTGCTCCTGCATACATCAATCGCTTACCATCTAGGCAAGTTGCCCTTTTTAAATTTGTCCGTCTCGCTGGTGAAATATTACCAGCAGGATTATTTGTGCCATATCTTAAAATGATCGCATCTCTCGCATCTTCTCCTCAAGCAGCACGACAAGCATTCAATTTTCTTAAGCCAAATGGTAGGCATTTCTTTTTATTATTTCTTTTCCTTTTTCATGTAAAGTAAACAATATTAAATAAATAAAAAATTATCTATAGGATCTTCTGGATCAACAACAATTTCTTGGGATCACTTTTTTAAATCTTTAAGCCAATACTATGATAATCTTAGGAAAGAATTGCCTCCAAATCAAGATACTGTTTACCGCCAAAGAAGCCATCCCAAAGGCATTACACCCGAAGAAGTTAAAGGTCTTGAAGCAGTATTGTTGGTCGTCCAAGTGATTGCAAAAAATGATGAAATATCCAGAATAGCAATATGCGATCATCCAGGATGGAAAGTATTACCATCTTTAATTGGTTTAGTTAGTTGTGGAATATCGATTCCATTGAAAAGCGTTTTGATACGAACACTTGCTGCGCTAGCAAAATCACCCGAAAGTTCATCCACTGTATGGCAAAGTTTAGAGGCTGCACAAATACTTTCAACTATACCAACGATAAGCAGCTATCAACCAAGAGGAGTTCAAACTGAATTGGAAGAAATTGAGTCAAAAAAAGACGAATATCCATTAACACGAGCAATGTTAGCACTTTTAGACGTTCTCACCGATTTTCCTGTATTACGATTATTGGGAATGGGACAGCGTAATCCTGGCTTTGATCCATATTTACATTTTATTATTAACACTGTCTTTCTAAAGTTTCATACGCGATCGTACAAAAATCCAGGAGAAAAATGGAAAGTTGCAGAAGCTTGTTTAAAAATATTTTCAAAGCTTATTAAGCAGTACGAGCCTGCTGTAGAAGATTTCATTGGATGTAGAGTGGAACTTCAAAGTGGAGAAATTACAATGGTTAATTCTGCTCCTGGTTATCATATAATGACTCAATTACACTCAAAATCTGAATTACTTCATGTTATACTATATGTTCTTAATAAAGGTTGCGCTAATTTTGATACTTATGAAACGTTTCCTGGTAAAAAAAATCTTGAAAATGGCACTTTGTATTGTTTAGAAATATTAGAAAGAGGATTAAAAACGCAACATAATTACATGGCCCAATTAGCTGCTGCGAAATCAATACACAAAATTTTATCTGGGTTATCAAGATTACTTTTAGAGGTAGATCCACAATCAAAAAAGCCAGATTATATGATAAATGTTGCTAAATATGTTTCTTATAGTTCTTGGCTTCCACAGCATGCATTTCATGCTGTCGGTGTTATTCATGAAGTGGCCAATGAACCAGGAGCAGACTCTGAATTACTTTCTACATTTACAGCTACTCCAACTTTAGCCACGAATATCAGACACGGTTTTGTGGAATGTTTAGATGCGGATATAACTTTTGATGAGGATACTGAAAACGACAAGCAGTATATTGGTAGATGTAAAGAACGAATTTTACTTCTAATGATGCAAAGTATTACACGACCTACGCCAAATCTTTCTCACTATCTATTAAGATTTGAGATTACCAAAGATATCAGAAAAACTGTTCTGTTACAACCTGGTATTCTAGGCATTCCTCGAACATGTATGCATTCAATATTAGGGATTTTAGAACAGTCTCTTGAACGTGGTCGGGATAAAATAACAGAGGCCTGTTATTGTTTCCTTCATACATTAGCTGCAAACAACAAAACATCTGTTTCAGTATTGAGATTCTTACGAGCTAGTGTGAATCAAGACTTTGTACAAAGACATCTTTCAAAGTTACCATTTGAGGGACAAAACAGAGCAACCGAACTTGGTTGTATGTCGTGGTTATTAAAGATAGCTGCAATTGAATTACGAGTTGCTGGTGGAAGCTTGCAAAATTCTTTGGTTCAGCGACTCGTTGGGAACTTCGGCCAAGAGAAAGGGCAAATCGTACCGTCACAGAAACTTCTAATGGATCTTTTGCATTATATCGAATTTCAGCTTCAACTGGAATCACCATTATCTCTAGATTTCTTCGATCCGTCACAAATCGAAATGGTTTTAGGACGATGTAGTGTTCCAGTTGCATTGATAGGAGGTCCTCGACTTATAGACATCAGAAAATTACATTCTCTTATCACAGAAGAATTGACTGTTACGCAAAGTAGTGCAACCGCAACTCAACGTAATCTTATGCAACAGGAAGTCCAAAAAATTCTAACATATGCTTTAAAAAGAAATCAAACGAAGTTATTGTCCTATGCTACGGTGAAATTCGTGGAAGGCTGGTGCCAAACGACAGAAATATTGTTTTGTGTTGCAACAAATCAACAACTTCCTACACCACAGAAACAGAATCTACTGTTAAATCTGTCACATGATTTGTTACAAAAAATGACGTCCTGCGAAGCCTTAAATGAGATTAAAACCTTAGTATCTGGAACAATTTTGATGTTATTGGTACATTTACGAAATAGTTTTATTACGCAAATGAACGGCGAGTCATTTCCTTCGTCGCCCTCAAATACAACGATGATGAAAATCATTCTGAGCCATATTTTGCAATGGATCTTGAATGCAGGAGCTTCTTCACAAAAAGTAATAACTCATTTATATGCGGCGTTGTTAAACTTTCTCTGCGTTGTTGGTTTAGAGAAATCAGAAAGTACTAATATCGTTGATTTAATGTATATAAGTCAATTAGATAGTTCAGTGAACAGAGTAATGCCTGTACAGGAACGTTCCCATCGATACGCAACGATACAAGTGATAAATAGTTTTGGAAATAAATTAATGGATATTTTATGCCACAGTTGCTCAGGCGGTCATGATGTTTGTAAAATGTTAGCATTATCCTGCTTGGATAAGATCTTGGAATTGGATTATGATAATGCATGGATCATTTATTTAACTAGTAGAGGATATTTGAAGCACATGATCGACAGTCTTTTAGAATCTGATAATATGTTGCGATGTATGTTACAACCAGAGCCTCAAACATTAAGGCCACTTTATTTATATGAAGCAAAAATGGCAACATTTTGCAGGATGGCTTCTACAAGATTAGGTGCCGAAAGTCTTTTAGAAAATAAAGTTCTATCATGTATGTCAAGTATGATTGTTTTTGATCATCATCCCGACGTTCACGTAGAATTTGAAGGTGGAGACTATTCTTTCATACCCTCCATTGGTCAGCGCTACCAGCAAATATTTTTACCAGTTTTATATCTTTGCGATGCAGTGCTTACTACCCTCGGAACAGAAAATCAATCGTGTGCCATACAAGTTTGTGGCTTTCTACAAAGCCATCGAGATACTGTCGAGATGATATTACGAAACGCCTTTCCGAAAGCAAATACACTTTTTTTGAAAGAAATAGCTTGTCTTACAGGTGTGATATCTCGATCCGCAAACATCGATATGTATAAATTGGTAGACGAAGAATTGGCTAAACTTGATTTCGATGACTATAAATTAGAAGATGTTAGTGGCATAAGAGAACTTCGTGCACATCTTTATCGATTACAAAGATTAATGTTGTCATTATTGTATAAATTCCAATTACAGCCAGCCCCTGTTCGTTTAAGCCATGAGCAAACAGTAGCAAATCAGCAACATATTTCTTGCGTACAAATAGTTGCAAATATTATGCTGTATACTCGAAATCAAATGCAACATAGTAGAATGGATCAAAAAATAAGGAATATACTGTTCGAGCCTCATTTGACACCAAGACCAGGAGGAAGAGAAGATAAAATGAAAGACACATCGGGTGGAGTACATTTAGGAGTAATTGTTGATCAACTTGTGTCTGTTACGAGTTTATTGCACACTGAATTACCTCACATTGATACTCTCATTAAAAAATCAGCGATAGTAGGGGAAATGAGTACAGCCGAATTAAAAGAATATATGTCCGAAGAGGAAGCGGAACTTGACGTGCAAAAGCAACGAGTAATAGTAGAACAGCGATTAAATCGCTGGATTAAAGAAAAACGTCAAACTATAAAATATTGTTCTTTAATAATAGAACACGCTTTGTATATTCTTTGGAGTCATTTGGATTTTTATATGATACAAGTGATATCAAGACATAGTCGAATGCAAGGTAAAATTACATATTGTAAATATTAATCAAATGAGATATTAAAATTGTCTTTTTCCTTTTCAGTTTCTTCAGGAGGTATAGATGAAGATATGGTGGCATGGAAAATATCATCAGAGACATTAATGGAGTTAAAACAAGGTTTTGTTTCTACATTTACAGATAGCTTTATTACACAATTGTTAGATACACATAATGAATATGCAACGGTGGATCTTAGTTTCATCGAAGCTCTTGTCCGAAGAATTAAAAGGCTATTACAGTTTATCATTGTACAGTAATGTCGCGTCTATAATTCAAATGTATAACATATTTTTTATATATTGCTGTATTTAAAAATAATTGTTAAAACCTTTGCAAACAATATTTATTATAAAAATTGGACAAACAACAATTTTGAAAAATAAATCATATATGTATAAATACAATTCATTGAAAAAGTTTGTTTCATACTTTTATTAATTAACATTCTCAAATTATGATTGAATATTTGGAAAATTACTAATATATCATTTTGAAATATTTTATTAGACACAATAATATATAAAATACATTTCTATGGTTATATTTTATTGCTACTATTGTATTATGTACTGTGTATTAGTAATAAATTAAATATTCAAACATTTCTAGTCTATTTCTTTTCTTGAATTACAATTTAATATATTGCAATAAACAGAAGAAAATACATTAAATATTTAAGATGTAATAACAGCCTCATCCCATGGTCCATAAATATTATCCTTATACTTTTGACATCTTACATACCAATAAGGACAAATAAAATGTAAAAATATTATGGATGCAATAAATACATAAGAAAGAGTTTGTGAAACCAATAAAAGAAAGTACAAAGTACTTAGTGTTAAAAAACTTGATATAAGTATTTTGCTATTTAATTTATGCATTAAAAATGGTAATAAAACAAAACATTGTACAGAAACAGTAAGAAGAGAAAAAGCATGTAATGGGGATGCCAATCTAGATGCTAACATTAAAGAGCCAAAAATTGAAGATGTTATGGATAAAGAATCTGACAAGGAGATTTGCATTGAACCATATTTGCTAAATATTAAATGTACAAAGAACATTAATATTGTCATAGCATAAATCGTATCTGTACTAATGGTTTCAGTTAAAGTTTTTAAAACAGGTGATAAAATATATCCAAATGTAAGAAAAATCAATACAGTTCTAACATGTTTTGTTAATTCAATTAAAATACTTGGCTCTTTCAAACAGTATACAAAATAGCCAAATATTGTAAATATTACACCAAATATAAATATGATATCAGGACTGGTCCACTCATTGTTTAACCAAATAAATATTATAACAAAAAGAATCACAATATTTAATTGGATACATATACTAGCGCCAAAACTTATTGCTTCTATTAATGTCACATTATTTGGTTTTATGTTTTTACGTAATTGTTCCAAAAATGAGCTATCTGTATAATTATCTGGCAAACCATAATTTTCATATAAATTTTTTTGCCATTGTACCTCTAATCTCATAATGTATTCTGTTCTTTATTTTCATTAAAATTTCAAGTGCATAAAATATGAAATTTAATTTTCATTAATTAAATATCATTGTGAGTTAGATATTATCATTAAATGTAGATCAACATTTTTATATATTTTTGGTATGCACCCATATGTTACAAAAAAAACAAATGACTTCAATTAATTTTAAATCATACTTAATCGTAATTTTGTTGATTCTTGAGTATTATGATACTCGAACCATACATCTTAATAAAACGAAGTTATTGGAAAATATTGTAGACATTTTTTTTTAAATCTTTAAATTGTAAAAAAATGTCTCTTCCAATAGTAACCAGAAAATACTTTGTTTGCAACGTGACGCTAATTTGATAACAAATGTACAACTACAATTAAAATCTATAATTGACTACAAAATCATTTCCATCTGTGTCAACATTTTGCATCTATTTTTATGTTAACTCTTGTATCTAATACTTTGATACCTTGGTTAATAACCCACTGTCTACCATTGCAATCATCAGTTTATGTTTTGACATGCTTTTGCTGCCAATATATTAACATAACTTGATAACTAGACCTACAAAAAATTTGGTAACATTTTGGTGACAACTTGTACTAAGCATTTTGAAAATCTGGTAATAACAGGTTTTACTAATAGATAGTTTTATTTATTTCATATGAAATAATTAAGGAAATTAAATTCATGATGTAAATAATATAAAATTACAGTATCATTCTTATACTGTTTTTTTACGAAATAACCAATAAGAATCTAGTTATACTGTAGATTTTAATTTTGTAAAAAAGAGTGCGTGGCAAAAAATATGGCCGAGATTTAGAATAATTCAAATATAACTAAAGTTGATTGTGATGTAACATATTCCAAAACCACAGTTTAATTGTTTCTTTAATGCTTATTTCATATAAGATCAATATACATCAATATGTTACGTACGCATTAACATTTTTCCATTTTGTTCTATATAGGTAAATAAATAATTATTTTACATTTTTTTCAATTTTTAACTAATAAATTCTATCATGTTAATTTTTATAAGGAATATACGTTGTATTATGATTTACTATTGTAGAATAAAGTTATTCAATATTTTGTTGAAGAAGCATAATTCAAAATAAAAATGCAGAAATTTAGACAAGCTCAAGCAGAAAATAAAATAGCAATTAAGAAACATTTAGAAACAAATGCCTACTTAGAGTCATCCAGTGAGGATGAAGATGATAGAAATGAGGAGGATACACAGAATGTGGTTCAAAAAGTACTATTTACCTATCAAGGAAAAGAAGCAGATGTAGAAAAAATTTTATATTTAATTAATATTTTTCAATCTAGTAGTGCTGTTTGCTTAATATGTATTTCGACTGTTAAAAAAGCAGATCCAGTATGTTATTCTAGAATTATATGGTTTACAAACTTTGGTAGTTTATAAAATATATTTTAGTCATTATTAATGTTTTAGATTTGGAACTGCAAAAAATGTTTTGCTTTTCTGCATCTATCTTGCATTTTACATTGGATACGAGATAGTTTGAATGTTAAACTTGAAAAAGGTATAACACCAATATGGGCATGGTAAGATATATCTTAAATTATCTATATATGTATCTGTTAACAATATATTCATTTATATGTAATACACAAATATATTTTAGTCCAAAATGCCGTATGGAATATGGGCAAGATGAAGTTCCTAGTTATTATACATGCTTTTGCAAAAAATTCATAGATCCTCCATATTGTCCATGGCATATTCCACACTCCTGTGGAGACATATGTGGCTCATTCCTACAACCAAACTGTGGTCACAAATGTGTTTTACTTTGTCATCCTGGACCATGTCCCCCTTGTGCAAAAACAGTATGTGTCACATGCTATTGTGGTAAGCAAATACCTCAACAACGGCGATGTAATGCCAAAGAATGGAGTTGTGGTACTGTATGTAATAAAAAATATAAATTGTGTTTTCATACTTGTAAAGAAGTATGTCATTCTGGAGAATGTCCTCCTTGTTCAGAGGTATTACTATTAGAATGTCATTGTAAAAGTAATAAAGAACTAAAGCAATGCTCTGAAGGACCATGGACTTGTGATAAGCCTTGTAATAGATTTCTCTCTTGTAACATTCACATATGTCAAAAAAAGTGCCATTTAGATGGCGATTGTGGACCTTGTCCATTGGAAAAAAATAGAACATGTCCATGCGGGAAAAAACGTTATGCCATTTCATGCAAACAAGAACATTTGCCTACATGTGGAGATACATGTGGAAAATTATTAAATTGTGGTTCACATTACTGTAACATGAGATGTCATATAGATCGATGTGGACAGTGTTTAGAGGTAGTCACAAAATTGTGTAGATGTGGTAGCTACCAAAAAGAAATTGCATGTGGTAAGGAATTCCATTGCAATAAGAAATGCGTGCAAATGCGTTTATGCGGAAGACATCTATGTAATAAGAAATGCTGTGATTGTCTACGTAAAAATACATATAACATATGTGAAAAAATTTGCGATAATACTTTAAATTGTCGAAAACATAAATGTGTTGCTCCTTGTCATAGTGGTCCTTGTTATCCATGCACACGAAGTGATGTTGTTCAATGTAAATGTGGATATAATAAGATAACAGTTCCATGTGGTACAGTAAAAAGAATCAGACCTCCAATTTGCAATAAGCCATGTAAAATACCACCAATCTGTCATCATCCCAAAAGAGAAACTCACAAATGTCATCAAGGCCCTTGTCCACCTTGCAAAAAGACTTGTGGCTTGCTATATAAACGATGCGGTCATTCTTGCACCTCTGTATGCCACACAAAAGTTTGGGTGAAGGTAAATAAAAATGATATAAAGACACAACCAGCAGGACCATGGAACATACAAAAAGAAACTATGCAACTAAAAACATTACCATGTCCTCCATGTGAAGTCTCTGTACCAGTTACATGTTTAGGAGGACATGAAACATGTCCATGGCCTTGTCATATGGCCAAATCTACTTCTTGTGGAAGAGTATGTGGAAAAACATTATCATGTGAGAATCATACATGTGAATTAATTTGTCACAAAATATCATCTTCTGAATGTATGGAGTGTGAAAAACCATGCCTATTTCCACGACCACAAGGTTGCACACATTTATGCCCGAAAATTTGTCATCCTGCACCATGTGACCCTTGCAAGCAACTAGTTAAAGTACTATGCCATTGTGGTATAAGTACTTTATATTACAGATGTTCTGAACTAACATCAACCAAAACTGAACAACGTAATGAATTATTTAAATGTGGTAACCAGTGTCCAAAAAATGTAATTAAATTATTAGATTAGTTGTGCATTGTTAAATGTACTTTCTATAACTAAATAATTGTATTTTGTTTTAGTACCCTTGTGGACATCAATGCATTGATGATTGTCACCCAGGTCCATGTAAAAATGAAAAAGAATGCAAGAAGAAAGTGAAGCTGTTTTGCGATTGTAAACGTATAAAGAAAGATTTTATTTGTTCAATAGTGCAGAGGGAAGATATTCATATAAAATGCGACGATGTTTGTAACACAATAAAGAACGAAAAACGTCAAGCTGAAACAGCTTTATTAGAACGAAAACGGAAAGAAGAAGAAATACGTAATCAAAAGGAAATTGAAAAGTTTGAACGAAAATTCAAACCCCGTCGTAAAGGAAAAGATAAGTTCGATAAAAAACAATTATTAAATAAAACGCATAATAATTATAGAAAATATTGGAGTTTAGCTATTTTAATATGTTTAATAAGTATTGTAATATTTTATGTGAGTGTCCAATATTCTTGGATAAAATTGATTTATTAAATTAAATTTGTAAGTGTTTTATTATTGTTATTTTCAGGAAATAATCTAAATTTTTATTACATAATTATATTTTTAATTTTAGTTTAATAAATTAATGCTCAAATTTTTAATAATTTGTCATAATTAATATAAGATATTTCAGTATATTATATTTTTTACCAATGTATTTGTGCCATATAATTATAATATCCAAAGAATTGTAATTAATGTATGTTTTATGAATTTCTACTTTGTGTTAATTGAATTACAAAACTATGACAATATTAAATATTGCATTTAATTTTTACATAATATTTTGACATAAAACAGTTTTGTCATTTTAACATAAAGTAATAATCAAAGTATATACAATGACATGCAATTATATATGTAGTTTATTTTTTTTCTTGCCTTCTTCTATTGATCACTTTATTATAAATTATATCCGCAAACTGTTTCAAATATCGATGAAAGAGTGCCATCTAGTAGGATGTAATTTTTCTAACAGTCATTGAAGCCGCTTAGAGGTTATATCGTATTTACAAAGTAATCTAGTTTGTTTCGTATTGTTGGATCAACAATAAATTAGAATGGCAGTTCCATCAGTTTCGTTATCAACGAGAAATAAAAAGCATTTTTTAGGAGTTCCAGCACCTTTAGGATATGTTGCTGGTGTTGGAAGAGGGTAATACATAAAAAATAATACTATTTAGCTAACCTAAATTCTTTTAATATATTCAAATATTAATATATGACTTTAATATACTGTTTTTCAGAGCTACCGGATTTACAACTCGATCTGATATTGGCCCAGCTCGAGATGCTAATGATGTTTCGTAAGTATTATATTATATTTAATTTTTTGTTGATTTGGTACAAGTATCTTATATCAATGTTTTGTATGTTGTTTATAGGGATGATAGACATGCTCCACCTACAAAAAGAACAAAGAAAAAAGAAGAAGAAGAAGAAGATGAAGAGGATTTAAATGATTCTAATTATGATGAATTTTCTGGATATGGAGGATCTTTGTTCAGTAAAGTAAGATATTGAAAAAGTCTGTGTTAAATTATAAGGTCTTAAAGTGTACTTAATTTATAGTATTAAGTAATGTAATATCTTACAGGATCCCTATGATAAAGATGATGAAGAAGCTGATGCTATTTATGAAGCAATTGATAAACGAATGGATGAAAAGCGTAAAGAGTACAGAGAAAAACGACTTAGAGAAGAATTAGAAAGGTATCGTCAAGAACGTCCTAAAATTCAACAGCAATTTTCAGATTTGAAAAGAGAATTAGTAAATGTAACCGAGGAAGAATGGAAAAATGTTCCAGAAGTTGGTGATGCTAGAAATCGGAAGCAACGAAACCCGCGAGCGGAAAAATTTACGCCATTACCGGATTCTGTACTTGCACGAAATTTAGGTGGGGAAACATCTGCTAGTATAGATCCATCGAGTGGTTTGGCATCTATGATGCCTGGTGTAGCAACACCTGGAATGCTAACACCGACCGGAGATTTAGATTTAAGAAAAATTGGACAAGCAAGAAACACTTTAATGAATGTTAAATTGAATCAAGTTTCCGATTCTGTAGAAGGACAGACTGTTGTTGATCCTAAGGGTTATCTTACAGATTTACAAAGTATGATACCAACGTATGGTGGTGACATTAAGTAAGTTAAAAATAATATATTTATATATAAAAGCCAAAATATTTTAATGCAAATAATTGTTTAATGAACTTTATTTTTACCTAATTTCAGTGATATCAAAAAAGCGAGATTATTACTAAAATCTGTAAGAGAAACAAATCCCAATCATCCTCCAGCATGGATTGCTTCTGCTCGTTTAGAAGAAGTAACAGGAAAAGTGCAAGCTGCACGAAACTTGATAATGAAAGGTTGTGAGGTGAATCCTACATCAGAAGATTTATGGCTAGAAGCAGCTAGGCTTCAACCACCTGATACAGCTAAAGCTGTAATTGCTCAATCTGTACGGCATATACCAACATCTGTTAGAATTTGGATAAAGGCAGCTGACTTAGAAACAGAAGCAAAAGCAAAAAGAAGAGTGTATCGTAAAGCATTGGAGCACATTCCAAATTCAGTAAGATTATGGAAAGCTGCAGTGGAATTAGAAGAACCAGAAGATGCACGTATTTTACTTAGTCGAGCAGTCGAATGTTGCCCAACCAGTGTAGATTTATGGCTTGCTCTTGCTCGATTAGAAACTTATGATAATGCCAGAAAAGTGCTTAATAAAGCAAGAGAAAATATTCCAACTGATAGACAAATTTGGACAACAGCTGCAAAATTGGAAGAAGCAAATGGAAATAAGCATATGGTTGAAAAAATCATCGACCGTGCAATATCTTCCTTAAGTGCGAATGGAGTAGAAATTAATAGAGAACATTGGTTTAAAGAAGCTATGGAGGCTGAAAAAGCTGGAGCAGTTCATACATGCCAAGTTATTGTTAAAGCAATTATAGGTTTTGGAGTAGAAGAAGAAGACAGAAAACATACATGGATGGAAGATGCAGAAACTGTAATATTTTATATTTTATTTATTTTTAATGTCACATGAATAACTATTTATTACATTTATTGTTTTAGTGTGCTCAACAAGGAGCATTAGAATGTGCTAGAGCTGTCTATGCTTATGCATTATCAACATTTCCTAGTAAAAAGTCGATTTGGTTACGTGCAGCTTATTTTGAGAAAACGTATGGTACACGGGAGTCTTTAGAATCTTTGCTTCAAAGAGCAGTTGCTCATTGTCCCAAAAGCGAAGTACTTTGGCTTATGGGTGCAAAATCGAAGTGGTTGGCTGTAAGTAAAATATATAAAAAGCGAAATTTTACAAAAGTCTTTATAATTTATATAGTTCTTATTTTTATATTTTATATGTAATATCTTTTTTAATTTAAGGGTGATGTACCAGCAGCAAGAGGTATTTTATCACTCGCATTTCAAGCTAATCCGAATTCAGAGGAGATTTGGTTAGCAGCTGTGAAGCTAGAATCGGAAAATTCCGAATATGAAAGAGCACGACGATTGCTCGCAAAAGCTAGAGCGTCTGCACCAACTCCTAGAGTAATGATGAAAAGCGCAAAATTAGAATGGGCTCTGAATAATCTTGATGCAGCTTTATTGCTTCTAAAAGAAGCTTTGGAAGCATTTGATGATTTTCCAAAGTTATGGTTAATGAAAGGTCAAATTGAAGAGCAGCAAGGAAACTTAGACAAAGCATTAGAAACATATAATCAAGCTGTAAATATTCTTTTTCTTTTTTAATAATTAATTGTAGCTTAGAAATTGATTTTTTACTTTTATTTGTGTTATAGATAAAAAAATGTCCCAATTCCATCCCACTATGGCGTTTACTAGCACAGTTAGAACACAGAAAGGGTCAAGTTACCAAAGCTAGATCAGTTTTGGAGAAAGCTCGTCTAAAAAATTCAAAAAATGCTGAGCTTTGGCTAGAGGCTATTAGAAATGAATTAAAGACTGGAGGTGTTAGAGATATGGCGAATACGCTGATGGCAAAAGCACTTCAAGAATGTCAAATGTCTGGTTTGCTTTGGGCAGAGGCAATTTTTATGGAACCTCGACCACAGAGAAAAACGAAAAGCGTCGATGCCTTAAAAAAGTGTGAACATGACCCACATGTACTTCTTGCAGTATCCAAGTGAGTATCTAATAGCTTATTACAATATTTTTATAAAATATTAAAAACATGGATTATTTTAATAATTTTTTATTATCCTAATAATCATTTTATAGATTGTTCTGGTGTGAACATAAAATTTCAAAGTGTCGAGACTGGTTTAATCGAACAGTTAAAATAGATCCAGATTTTGGAGACGCATGGGCATATTTCTACAAATTTGAGCTCTTAAATGGAACAGAAGAACAACAAGAAGACGTAAAAAAGAGATGCATTGCCGCGGAACCTCACCATGGTGAAAATTGGTGTAGGGTATCAAAAAACATAGTAAACTGGTGTTTAAGCACTGATCAAATATTAGTATTAGTTGCAAAAGATTTACCAATTCCAATATAATGTTTTATAAAATAATTTAAGTAAATATTGTATATATATATATCTATTTTTTAAAAATTAGTCGTAACAGTAGAATAAATGATCCAATTATATAGATTTTAATTTTAGTTTACTATTTAAGTATATTCAATAATATATTCATTTTACTTGACTTAAACATTCTATTCTTTTTAATTAAATATATCTTTTTAATTACCCAGAAAAATAGTCACATTCTTTGAAATGTAAAAAATATGAAATAATTGTCTTGTAAAATCTCAGGAAAATGAACGACCTGTAGTCTCTCTTTACGGGGACTTACGGACTTACGGACCAACTAGTTACTTGTGGGTCTACTGGTCAGTCCTGTACATTTAACTAAATGTGGGAAGAACTAGTAAGTGATATATTTTTCTAGAATGAATCAACCAGTTTCAATCAATAAAATATCCTATTTTATATCCTATTTATAATTTGATATTTAAATTTAGTTTAAACAACTATTAATGGCATAATTTTATTTCTATGCTAAGTCGGTAACGTTGGAAATGACTCTAAAATTGTAGGTGGATTCTAAAATCTCCGAGATAGCGAACAAATAATTCAGTAAATATGGTAAAAAAAAAAAAAAAGAAGATACGATATATAGGATAGACTTGTAACAATTATTAGTCACAAGTGAATATCTACCTTTAAGTATTGACTTTTTCATTGTCAATGATTAAGCGAAATATAATTTCTATGTTTACTAAAATAAATCTTAGAGGGCGTAAGAAACATTGATCTTTTCTGAGATCGGTATTTTAGAATATGGAATATGAAGTATCACAAGATCTATTATGTACCTAGTTTGTGTATTAGCAAGAAACTGGTGTTAATAATATTAACATATTTAAATGTTTAAACTGCCCATCGTGTTTAAATTGTATTATAATTATATTTACTAAATATTTCTAATGCAGTTCTGAGTAGTACGTATCGTTTTTCCGCATCTGGAAAACATAACCTATGAGATGACTGATGCTTATTTACGCAGTAAATGTTGCATACTACAATGTAGTAAATATAAAATATACTTTTTGTTATACTAAACGTAACAAAATTTATTTGACAGCTTAGAAGCATATGTATAAAGTACATTTTATATGTTAATTTAGTTAGTAGAAAATGTATACATTTATTTAAAAGAATATCGTAATGGACAGGATTACTTTTCCACTATCTTTCCCTTAAATAAGTCAGTTTTTCCAACAATATTAAACCATGCTATTTCCAACTACTAGGAATACCCAATGAAATTGCCACATGACGCGCAGCTGGGATAACTACAAGATGAGTCATTCTACCTCTCGTCTACCCCTAAAAAGTCCTTCAGTCCTGTTCCCTTCTCATTGTGTCAGAAATAGCAGCGGTACATTCCTTCAGAACTTTTGTTACATCTGCGTTCCAATTTATAATATGCACACTATATAAATGATAGTAAAAGGAAAAAATATAATCTAATAGCAAAATAAAAATGTTAAAAGTAATTTACGCTTGAAAAACATGAAATTTTTTCGTGCATGGAATGCGAAATCATAATCGTCGCGAAGGGTGAGTCAGCCACCCTCCCGATGACGGTCAAGGAGACCATTGGAGGAAGTGTTCGATAGATGGAAGGAGAAATTTAAGTGCGGAGGGGAGAGAAATGACGCAGTGCGATTGGCTGGCGTTCGGGGTCGGAATTTATGGTGGGGATTGAACAGTCTAAACGTAGGATTGGCAGAAGGAAGAGTGGAAGAGTGGTTTGCTGATGTTACCTGGTGTTACGTGCTGTGGAATCACTAGCCAGTCAGTCAGTGTACTGTCTCCATCCTGCCCTTGAACACTCGGCTGGACAGTGTTTGCGCTTGTCTACCTCTCTAAGTGACAACTGACAGGTCAGTGCTCTTTGCCGCCGATACATTCTATCTATGGTTATTAAAATTGCATGCGCTTTCGAGTGAAAACATACGGTGTTATTTCGTCGACATATCAAAGCAAACCGGCTTTCTTTATTATTCAAAAAGAAGGCGACATTATGATTGTGTGTGTATACATGCTTTTTAACAAGGTGAAAACTGCTCGAAGGCGATCGGTATCCGCGAGTCACTTGTCCTTCCTGTTTTCGGAGTGTAAGTTGTCGAAAGGCTTGATAATATATGTATTTTTAGGAATATCGATCGTCTTCATTATTTTGCGATCGAAAATGGAGGGGTGTGGTCAAATCACCATACGCGTTCAGTGCACGCATGAATCCCAATCGACGATACAAACCAGTAGGTTTTCCATTATTTTTCTCTTTTTCGAGTAGACGTTTGAAATGTTTCGTCGTAGTATTCTGTTTAAAATTACTATAACATTAAAACGGTTTTTGAATATCTAATAAGAAATATTGTTATTATAATTCTTTCTGTTTTACTTAATTCAACGAAATACATTATTATCTATATCGGTAGATATTCAAAATAATAATTAAGCGTCAAATAAATGAATTATGTCTAATACAATTTTGAAAACTATATTACCTCTTTTTATCGTTGAGCTTCTATATCCCTACGTTAGGACGACAGGATGGGACAAGGGCGTGGTTTTGACAGATGCACTCCGCTGCGCATCAGGCACGCAAATGCGTTTCTGGTTGCCGACTAGTGAACGCGCTTCTGTCTCTTATGATCATGAACATTTATTACGTTTCGGCATAAGCTAATTTCTGGAAAAATAAAACTGTGCCTTTAGAATATGTTTAAAAAGAAATTTAACTAAAACAATTTAAGTCTATATACCTATTTTTACAAAACATGTATGTGTAGTTGCGTTGATAGACTCATTACAGTGCAATAGGAATCACATTCTTCTTTAATTAAATGTATACATTTTCATGCATGCTATCTTCATAAGGGAGAATCCAATAGTATTTGCATCTTATCATGTCTCGAACGAGTTAGCTTGCTTCAAGGCAAACGAGTAAATATTTCAATTAAATAAAGCAGTTTAGAAATTCTATACATTGATTTGTACCGTAGACATTTTTTATTTGCAACATATTTCACACATAGAAAAAATCAGTTTGCTCTTGAACGTAACAATCATAATAATTTTTATCTTGTAATCTATTATATTTAATCTTGATAAAACTATAATATTAAATTAATATTGTTATTATTAGTATTAGAAGTTTTTCTTTATATAAAATTCACAATTATTCATTTAAAGACATATTTTTGTGATATTTTAATTATATGTATTTTACACTTATATTTTTTGATAATTTAGATACGTATTTGCAAATACTTACATGTCAGTGAAAGAAGAACAAAGTACAAGATGAGTCCCACGCGATGTATTAAAAAATCACCTTTTTACCATTGACCATGAAAGCCGAGGTCGTCGATACGTTATGTAGTACATATAGATAGCCGTGGAGAGTTCAGAAACCCCACTCTTCGACCCCCGCATTGCCAATCGATGAAACCGTCTGCCACCAGCCGACCGCTCCCCCGATGCAACCCTGTATGTACAAAACCGACACGTACACATACGGCAGGCGCGAGGGGCACGCGCGCACCGCTATTTCATTCATGTTCCGGAAGAGAATATCCTAAGACTTCATCGAGCATCTTCAAGGTCGACTTCAAAGTAGGACATAATCTAAAAGCATAATTGGAATTAAATTATAGTGGGATAATCACTAATAAAAGTGTTAGAAAAATGAATGCAGAAATAAGTTTACTTTTTCTTCTTCTTTTGATTGGATCTTTCTAGACTTTTAATTCATTAAATAGATAGTAAGAATTTTACCTTTCATATCTAATACATTTCTGGGTATGATTGTATCCATCCCTTATTCGTCAAGTACCATAACCAGGATGTTGCTTGTGCAAAAGCGTAATGACGAAAGCAGTCTGCAATCTACGAGATTAGGTCAAAGGGTTCTCTTTCAGGGTTCCCCATCCATTTACGTCGTATACTTTGGTATTCGTTCACGAAATCTTAATCACTGAAAAGAATCTCTTTTATACCGGTTACTACATTGAAATTGCGATATAATTTATTGTATGACTTTCATTCTTCCTGATGAATTCCGAATATTCTTTTTTGTGGAATCACTTGATATGAACTAAATCTACAAGTATAAAATCTGTACTTTTATATTCGTTGATTTCTCTACAACTATAAATGTAATTAGATATTTATTAATTAAAACAATCTATTGAAATATATATTTCGATTAATTTCGACTAAGTCAAAAATAACATACAATTAGAAATTTTTAATAAAAACTTCCTACGTATTACTGAAAGCAGCAAAATTTGTTCTTATAACAGAAACAAAAAAGCATATTTTCAGGCCTGCGAACAAGACGAGCCGCTTAGTAACACGTAATACGCCCCTGAGCATACGCGCCACCGCTCGATACGATACGCGCGCGCCAGGGTTCGTTAGCCGTCACGGTCGCACGAAAGAGAGAGGGAGAGAAAGAGAAAGAGAGAAAAAGAGGGCGTTTGTATCGCATTTGCTCGGAGCGCGAGCGCGACACACAATCATTGCAAGCAAACGCATTTTCTAACCACGTTGCACGCTTTTACGTGGGTATACCACAGTATACGTAGGTGGTCAAGTGTATGCGCAGTCCACCATCGCTATTAACTGGTTAATGCAACCGCCACACGGATCCGTTCAGAAATGAACCACTGTATACGCCACTGAGGATCCTCTATTAAACGCGATTACCCAAGTTAATTGGCAACCCGCGCGAACTCGTTAGCCGTCAGCCTTAAGATCTCTCTTTACCTTCTGAAACCCACGACAATGTCCAGCCAGAAACTCTTGGACGATTAACCGATCTTATCGATTCCACCGGATGCGCTTACAGACGATCGGTTCCAGACACACGACCGTTCGTTTGGCAGTCTTACGTGGAAGTTCTGAATCATGCACTCGTTGCTTCTACAGCCTATGTTATTTTCTTAGCTACAAATATATAAATGTTCGTTGTTTTACTAATGCTTTTATCATATAAAGAACGCTAAAATGTGAATAATTAATATTGCTAAAACGGTGATAGAATACTGAATGTCATTTTACGTTAAAGACAAACCTCGTATGATGTGTTAAATTCCGAGATGAGTATGGCTCGTCGAAACGTAGCGTACACCGACGCGTCTTGCAAACCGGCTAGCGCGTCGGTGCGAGCAACCTAGTTTCCTTATTAACTTGCAGACCTCTTTTCTCCTCGCGAGATCAAGTAGAATTTATCGTGATTTCTCTTCGGACACTGGCGTACTGAGACCGTTTTTAGTCCTTCTCCTCATTATACCATGATAATCCAATGAGATACATCTTCGAGAGCTATCGAGAATCATCGTTGCTTTTTCTCGACTTTCGTGAAATCGACCGACTTAACGCTGTAATACGTTCGAAATTATGCGGTTTAAAGTATGCGGATAGAAGCTCTGTTAATTTTGAGAGCTTAGCGAGATTTCCTTTATCGTGTATCAGTTTCTCCAATATTACAAAGTTAAATAAAATTTCCAAGATCGAAATTAACCTCAAAAAATTCATTCTTTTGTATTAAGTATTTTCAAATATGCTAATTGTGTAACTAAAGTAATCTCTTCGTTTTGTGACCGTTACATACAACGCATAACCAACGGGTGTTTTAGCATGCGTGCACTCGATACAAGATTCTTACACGTGTAGTAAGGATAGGGAGAAAAGAAAAATTCAACAAGCGGATACGTAAAGGACACCAACGTGCTCCACAGTTGCGTATTCAGCCTCTTTCAAGCTCTTTCTATATACAGCCATACGACTGGCTACCATATAAGGACCTATACACAGCCTTGTCGATGCTGACCCACCGTTGGAACGTATCTCTCGAAACGCTCTCTTGGAGCCACTGACGTATCTATCTGTGCCCTCTACTCTTCTTGAATCTGTAATTTCTTTGGTACTGTTATTTTTACTTTACCATTTATGTTTCTTATTACTTCTAGCAAAACTGAAAATGTTTCAATAATTTCAAAAACAGGAAGCTAATACAATAGTAAAAAATAATTTAAGTAAAAGTAGTTTTTCAAGTTACCGTAATAATTATTGCAGACTTACCGAAGTTTAGTCAGTAACCTCATGCTTGGGAAAGTAAAGTTAGTTTCTTGACCTTTTTTGAAAGACGCTTAGAGGAAATATCGCATATCCAGAATTCACTTATTCTAAGTAAACTACCACTTAGTAGTCACTTAACACTAACTTCTTTTTTCAAGCGAGTACTGTTAATTTGGGTAAAATAATAACAAAATTCCGACGTTATATTCATACCAAGTCCTGATGCTTTTTGAAATGCAGGAGTTACCTTTTATGTTTTAGATTGGTGATATTTTTGTCTATTAAAAGCAGTCTTCGAAATACCTAAAAGTAACGAATATAAGAAACGTAAATGAGAAAAAACAAAGTGGGAGAGAAAACACAAAAAGAAATAGAAGAGAGAGCCCGACGAACATGAGTCATTCTAGGTTCAGTGGTGCACAAACTTTTTTAATTGTAAGCTCTTTCCACTCAAACTTATAAACTTCTGTTAACTTACGATTATCTTTTGGTTTTTACGATGTTTAACGCAATAAAGAAAATAAATCTTGTACAAACAGTTTTGAGATCCTGGGTTGTGTTCAGACCTCGTGAATGCGAAGTGTCATCGATTGTGCATCACTGTTCCAACAACTGTAAAACGCAAAAGCACTGAGTGCTGGATTCGATGTACAAGAACATATGACGAGTCTCCAGTGCCTTGCGTCAGAACGTGCATGAACTATTAATAATTTTTACTTCTAATAAGAAATATTTTATTATTACCATTGTGAATTTTGTAAATTCCTGCTTGAGTAGATGTATACATAATGCAAATATTTATAATAACAACTTATGATAAAGTATTTTCACAAATTTTGTTAAATTTTCAAATGCGATAAAATAAGTTGGCGCGATACAAAACTTGAATAAATCTTTATATTAAATTAAATATAATGTGTAAAGTTAAATCATAAATAAGAATCCTGGTTCATAAAAATGCCGATGTTTTACTAGGAAATTACACACAAGGTTATGTGACCAGAAAGGAAATGAAAAGAAACCGGAAGTAACGAGTTTCTGCTTCCGCTTCGTAACACATTAGCCACTGACGTATAGTACAAAATTTAGACAACAAAGAATCTCCAGACAGATTTTATTAAATGCAAGGTATCGTATCTTCTTTGCGTTTGTCTAAATATTTTTATACAAGTGCAAGCATATACGATTAAAGAAGTTCACTAATTGCAATTAACGCAACCATTGCATTTTAAGATGTTACGTATCCGATTACATTCCGACATAATTATGGCCAATCCGTTATTTTCACTTGTAAAAAGAAAAAGCCAGAGAAGACCGGAAATGTTAGGTGAGGAATACTTGCCTACCTTTGCATTCGGTAGAAATAGTGCCGTTATTCGTCTGGAATTTATGGCACTTGCATCTGTCGGTTTACATCTCTCATCAATTGGAGAAAACTCCATGCTTTTCGCCTTTTATATCTCATCAATTATTTGTATCTAATACTTATAAATCTAAAACATTAGTGACGTATATATAAAGTAGTGTATATGTAAAGGTAATATAATTTCAAGTTTAAATGTTTGGAAAAAAATATTGAGTATAGTAGAAAAATTACAATAATACGTACATAAACTTTTAATTTTCGATTTTGTTATATCTTGATACATGTAGTACATAAAGGAATATTCAATATTTCAAGTGGAAAATCAAAGAGAACACTCCATACGTAAAAATTATTCGTTACATTCATCGATATATTCCAACGGTTTTGTCAATACGCATTGAAAGTGCTTCGAGAAGCATTCGATATCGATATGTTTCTCGATAGCTTCGCACAGGCGACTGCGCGTGTCGCTTTTGTATACATAGGCATCTTTCTTGGTAACACAATGACAATGAATCGACGCGTTCGCTGATACTGGCGGTTTCACGTTTTTTGTTGTTTCTAATATATCCGGTGTTCGATCATCATTGTTCAGTTGAGAATTAAGAAACTGAGTTAGAAGTCGAAACATGTACCATAACTCGGTACAATACTATTGCGAGATTACATCTTACGAATTTCAAAAGTTGAAAGATTTTTAATTTTCATTTTTATTATAATTTATAATTATTCTAACTAAATGTATTTGGGAAATTAGTAGTATTACGCTTTAAATTTCATAAATATTTAAGGAATAATTAAATTGTGTTTTGTTTTCTTTATTCATCTGAATGCAGTTAACAGAGACATATCGCGTCCACTGTAAAATCTCAGCAGTTCATTTCAGATTGTGATTCGAGTTGATGTCAGTTTTATAATTGGAAATTCTTCTGAATATGATATTAAGAAATATTTTTGTTAATGTTAAAAATTTGTTATTTCTTTCAGATTGAAGAATACAACACATCACCATGTCGAGTCTGTCGTTGAAAGACCTGCCAAAAGTAGCCTTAGACTTGAAAAGCGAGTTGGAAGGTTTCAATCATAGCTGTATGAAGAAAGCTGCAACCGCTGAAAAGAACGTTTTACCTTCTGCCGAAGGTACAACGCAAACTTTATTATTTTCTCCCTAAAATTTTTGTCTAACAAAAAGTCTAATGTGATCTTTACAATTCAGTACGCTGTAACATTATAGAGAGTCGTAATGTTAATAATTGTTTCTCGATATGATTAATTGTAATGCATGTAATATTGTAATATATAGACGTACGACAAGAGCGACAGCATTCTGAATTAATCCACGATGTGGAGACGTTTAAACCAGATCAATTGAAACATGCTGATACAAAAGAGAAGATCATTTTACCCAATGCCAAAGGTATCACAGAAATTTATGATTCCTGGGAGAATACATGGTTTTTAAATTTTCTACCTTTTCATTGGTTGGTAACAGAAGAAGGGTATTCTGTTGCTTTTGGTGCTTCGAGGTGTCCAAAATATACGCGATTAAGCCAAGCCTATTCACTTTCGCTTTCAGACGCTTAAAAGGAATCGTTTTGCATGTCCAATTAGTTCGTTCGTTGTCCCATACCCTACACTACGTTTACGATAATAACATGATGTTACGACTACTTTGCGATAAACGTTTTTTAAATATCGCAATAACAATAAGGCTTTAATGTTCCTTGCTAAAGAATTCCATTTAAAAACAGTGTATTTCATTTGCATGAATTTGTTTCTCTTTAAAAAAATTATATTTATTCGAAATTGAGTACACTGTTTTTAAAATAATGTTATAGACAAATGTTTAATGTATAATTGCTACAATTCCATTGGTTTTCACGATAACCATTTATAGTTTCTCCTTATATGTTTTCATCTTTCGTTCTTTGACCATAATTTACGACTTTTAGATGTAGCCGCAGAAAAGACCCAACAAACGCTGATGTCTGGCATCGAGAAATTCGATCCTAGCAGTTTGAAGCACACCGAAACTCAAGAAAAGAATTTGCTACCTGACAAGGATGGTACAGTATCGTATTTCGTGACTATTATATATCATTTTTGCTTGTGGCAATCTTTAAGAAAAATTGCTAATTATGTATAAAAAAAAAATTAGTTTTAATGTAAGAATCACAAATTGCAGGAAAAAGGAAAGCAACAGCTAATCTCTGGTATTGAAAATTTCAATCCCGCGAAATTGAAACATGCAGAAACGCTTGAGAAAAATCCCTTGCCAACCAAAGAAGGTGAACTTCATTTTTTAGCAAATATGTTTATCATTATTATTCTAAAATTTCATAATCATTTAAATGAAATATAGAGCTTTTGTATCAATAATATTTTCATATTTTCTGTTTTAGCAATCGACGCTGAAAAAATAGCTGCTTAAAGAAAGCTTTTAAAACGAAAAGAATGGAAAAGAAAGGAAGCAGCGACTCGTCATTTCTTCCATTTTCTATATCGTGACATTTTATAACAATTATTCATACATTGTCGACAAGAAAAAAGGAGAATGCGAAACACTGTGTTAATGTAATCTTATGATTATACTTATCCTACCGCCATGAGCGTCCCTTTCGGCGAGACGCACAAGTCGATTTTTACACGAAGCTATTAACAACAAAACGACGATGAAGGTTCAGGTCCAAATTTAATTAATTAAAAAAAATAATAAAAAAGGAGAAAAATATGCGATGAAACTTTTAAAGTTATCTATTTGATTCCTAATGTTACCAGCATTATGTAACTTTGGGCTTGTATTGACATCCGTCTTTAATATTAACTCGCCAAAGGATGTACTTTTTATACTAAGAAAGCTGCACACTGGCAAACGTTATTTTCGATAGCAACAAAATTGGTAGCATTGCATGCGTTACAGAATATCGCAATGGTACAGCGGTTGATCTTATATTTGTGTAAAAATCATATTTTATATAACGGGCTATTGTACTTTTTTAATATTTCGTACACATCGCATTGTCATTCCGATGAAAATTATGACGAATAAAAAAGTAATTTGTAAGAAAAAGTCTTATAATGTCTGAACCTTATTTTATTATATACATACATACATAAGTACTTTAATAATAATAAATATTACTTTCTATACACTGTCTAATAGAACGAGATGTTTGAACAGTCGCGCGAAAATACAAACAAAGGAAATATCTATAGTTAAGTAGTAAGGGTCCTTTTCTAACGAAAACTGATCCCGAAAATACCAAATGTCGGATCATGATTGGTTGATAAATTCTTTTCGTCCAATAGTCTTGAAGAAATCGATTCTAATAACAACCTAATGAAGGAGACCTGTTGCTAGTCCTTTGGTAGCCATGCTACGATCCTAACTACAAAGTAACAGTTATATTGTACAATTTAAAAAATTTTCTTGCGACTGACAATCTCGAAGCGAAAGAATTCTTCGACGCATTAATCATTTGTCTTCAAACAGGTACAATTTTGTTTACAATCAACTTTTTTTCTCTGTATTTCCGAATTAACGATACAGAATTAACAATAGAAAAGAATGTCCTTTCATGTTCTTCAAATATGCGAAATTATTATTATTAATCGGTAGAAAGTTTTGGAAATTCGTAATATTTGAATGACTACAATGGTTATTTTACTAGGTTTATGAAATATATCCATAATTAGAACTTTTAATAAATAGAAATAGTTTCGTGATCTTTTCTTTAGTAGCTAGGAAATGGAAATATCACCCAGAAAACCGTCGAAACGTGCACAAGAACCTATTGATGAATGGCTACAGAATGAAGGATATTTCAGAAAACATGCACCTAGAGATGCAACTTGTTTATTTAGAGCAGTTAGCGAACAAGTTTATATGACACAACATTATCACATAAAAGTTAGAAAAGAATGTGTAGAATTCATGAAAAAAATGAAACATATGTTTTTGGAGGTGAATATAGTAAATTTGATTGATCCTCAATTATTATTAGAAATTTCAACTGTTATACCTTGTTATAGAATATAACAATTCCATTTGACGATTATTTAGAGCAAATGGCATGTTTTACTGAATGGGGTGGTATGACTGAGATTCAAGCTATGTCATTGCTCTATAAGAGAGAATTTGTTATACTTAATGGTCAGAAACAAGCTAGTCGTACCGTTACTAACAATGGTTTCAAAGATATGATATATTTATGTCATACTCCACAAAAACAGTATGAAAGTATTTATACAAGAGATTTTGTTGCAACTGCTGCATATTGTCAGTGTAGGTATTTTAATATATTTGTGATGTTTTCTACATAAAATTATCAAACATATAAAAATAAATATTATTTATAGCTATTGTGTATCAAATATTATACAAAGATGTGTTCCAAATGGCTAATATAGAGACAACTGTTCATAAAATGTTACATGATAGAACAGCTACATTTAGACATGACAAGTTTTTCCTTAAAGGCAATTTGGAAATCCGAGAGTAAGTTAGATGATACGTGCATCATTAATACTATAATTTAAAAAGTTATCAAATCTAATTTATTCATATTTAGTCAATTAGCTACAGAGATATATAACAAAGTTGATAGTGGAATTGATGAGGTTGATGATGCTCAGTCTATAATAAAAAATATACCACCTTTCCCATATAGAATTGCAAAAGCTCTTGATCCCAATATTTATCGTAATACTGATTTTGATATATGGCATGAAATTAGAAGAGGTAATATAAATTTACTTTTCTTAAAAATATTATTATTTTATTCAAGAAGATAATAAACTTTCATATATTTTAGAAGTGAAAAATGCTGGTTGGTCCAGGCACAATAGTCATGAACTCCAAATTGGTGGCAAATGTTTGGTACAAGTGGACTTTACTGAGGAAGATTTTGACAAAACCAATAATAATAATATTTATGTATCTTCTCTTGAAAAGGATTCTAATAGTAATGATACCAAAGTATTGCAAAAGAAAGCTAAGGAACCAATATTTTATTATGGACACATTCAAGAGATGAGCAAAAATCAGGGACCTGTATTAGTTTTTATTGAAGAATTAGGAGAAAAAAGGGTTGTACCATATTCAGCTCTCAAACCATTACCTCCAAAAAAGAGTAAACAGGCCAATTGGTTACCAGTTTGTAAAAAGAATCTAATCTTAGATTCAAGTTAGTACTTAAAAATATATAAAATATTTTGTCAAATTTTTATATTTTCTTGTAAAATATTTACTGTTTGCCTTGATAGATCAAAAATGGAAAAAAGCATCTGGTGCAACATCGCGCAAAATTAAAGACTCCACTAATGTGAATATTTTATCAAATAACATTGATAAAAATGAAAACAATAATAACATTGCGAATGATATTAATAAGAATAATTTTCAGTGGAAGGAAGGACAATTGTAAGTAATTTATAATACTAATCTTTTAATAAAACTCCCTTTTATGTAATACAAATCTATTTTTATTATAGAAAAGTAGAGCATCAAGAATATGAAAATTATTCGGTGGAAAAGTGTCCTAATTACCCAGTTAATGTAAGTTGTAAAAAAATTATTTAATTGCTGTAAAAACCGAATATTTATACATTAAAAAACAAATTTTCTTTTATAGAATTCTGTTGAAATGTTTCCTGCAAGAATGATTCTTGATAACCCTCAATCTCCTACAATAGACATTGTAAAACAAGAAAATAATAAAGAACATAAAGAAAAATGTTCATTCTCACATAAAAATTCTGAAAACAATTTTGTAAGAAGTTCAAAACCTGATAATGGAACAAATAATGATAATAATGCTGACTTCAACTCATATTCTAAACAAGGGATGCAAAAGGAAATGCATTATTCACTATATGCTGGTATGTAATTATTAAAAACTAGTTAAATGATTATTACCATTTCTATACCATACATTATTTATTTATTGTTCTCATACATTAGGAGATTCTAATACTCAAATGGACCATATGCTACGTTCTATTAATTGTTCTGTACAAAAAAGTATTGATATAAATGGTAGTGATTTACCACTATCAGGTAATAATGCAAATTTAGTTTGTCATATGATTTAATAATAACATTTATAAATAATCTTTATATTCTTGTAGATCCATTCACTTTGAGATTTTTTTATAATTTAGGATTGGAGGTAAGATTTGCACAATTATTATAGATCAGTTTATAAATAAATAATTAAATTATTTATTTTAAACTTCTTTATAGTATTTCCGTGGCGGAGCTAATTGGAATTATTTAACAAATGGACATTCATCTGATTTTGGACATTGGTATCAAGGTATATTATAACTTATATTCCATAATATATTTCCTCTGATATATATATTTATTATATATTTATTGAAAAGGAGTACCTCAGAATGAGGAAGAAATTACAAATATTACAAATAGTATGATCCAAGATTGTACACTGACACAACAAAAGAAAGAATATAATAGTGATCGAAAAGAAATTGGCATACAATCACTGTGCCAAGAAAATGGAGATAAATATGTAAATGGTATAACAGATATGCAGATTCAAAAGACTGAAGGTTTTAGGGGAGATGATGAAAAAGATATGTCATATCCATCTCGTGGGAAGATAAAAGAACAAGAGTCTATAAATAAAGAATCTTCTCATATAAGTAGAAATGGATTAGGTCCACGATTTAAAAAAAATTCTGAAAGTAAGTAATAAAATTCTAAAAGTAATTTTCTTTATAAATACAATTATAATTAATAATCATCTTTTACACAGATCGACACCGATCTTCACATTTTTCTAATCAGTGTTCAGCTAATGGATCAAACTCTAAAGCTTCTAAGTTAGAGAAAGATGCAAAAGAGGATAATACAAATAATCAATATTCACACTCGATACATCATCAATTACACCCTCCAGTAAATACAATAAACACATATCAAGCGTCTTATATGCAACAAGGCATGTATTCTGGATTATCATATTACACGAACGAGGCCGAAGCATTCGCGAATCCTTATTACTCCTTAAATGCAGGTTTTATTTCAATCCCGTGTTTACCTCATTCTGATATACCTGATAATAATGTGCAACCTTTTTCGCCGCATCTATATCCTGGAATAGATTATACACAAGCTTATTCTGGTTTATGCCCACCGTACTTATATCCTCCGCCAACCCCATTTAATATTCCACCACAAAATGTGTCGGAACATTGGTATGCAGTTGCTGGACAACCGCATTATATGCAGTGTGCGCCGGTCTTACCTGTACCTGCAGAAACTACTTGCAATGGGATAGTACAAAATACTAATCAGAATATTTCATCTTAAGAATAACTTTACGGTTATTATATACATTGTGCAGATAACTTTTCATTTAACAGTGTTCTTGCAAATAATATCAGATTATAGAGAGGTTTATATGTAAAGAGTTTCCTATTACTTCTGTATAACTTATGCTTAGATAATTTTATATTAATATAAAATTAAATATAAAGATAAATTGTTACTGCAATATATGAACAAGTCACTGTTAACTGTATTAGCTAGTATCATATGGTTGCATTAACATTTGTACCTATAAAAGTCGACTATGAAAACGAAACTTTATGAACGTAACTATTAGAAAATATCACACGCGAATACACATACATCTACACATAGATGTATGCACATACATATATAAAGTATTACAGATTAAAGTACAAGTTTAATATTCTATGTAGGTTTTGTAATAGTTCATACATTAAGTGATAATAGTATAAATTATTTGGTATAAATTATTAAATATTATTCTGATACCTGTATAATTACATTCAGTATTTTCTTCATTCGGAACAGCATTGTTATTGTATTCAAGGTGCTCAAAGTGCAAATAACAAATATTTTTCTAAAATTTTATACAGGTGACGTTTTAGTTAATAAACATATTTCATAGTTCATATTTCTATACCTCGTTTGTTAAAACATTTTTTTGCTAATAAAAGGCTATGCAACGAAATAGAAAAGAATATTTATTTTGTGATCTTATTTATGTAAAATAAAGTTATATTCGCTGTTACTTGTTTATTGTTCAATTCAAATTAAATTTTGTTCTTGAATATTGCTGCCAACTAGCATTGATGTCAAATAAATGTTACTAGAAATATTTTGCACATTCCAAATATTTAATTTTATATTTAACGTAAAAGAAATGTAATAAATATATGTAATTGAACTAATGCAGAAGATTTATAATTTCTTGTTTGTTTATTATTATTAATATTGTTATTTTCTTGAGTTAATCGTGTTTAGATCAGGCTGAAAATCTCCGCCATTGAACGGCCACAGTTTTAAACCGGTGAAGAAGGTGCGCGCTCGAGATCTTTCAATATACAAACACCGTGGTTCTGTTCGCTGTATTCCACGCCATGACTAAAATTTGTTGGAAGAGTAGGAGTGCAGTAGCTGTGACAGGTCAAACGGTGAATAGTGAAATTACTTAATATTTGCTCGATAAAAGGATTTCTCGCATCGTACAACGTTGACAGATTTATCCTCAGTTCATTATTTCTGTTTCGTGAATTATTGTTAGCAGCGAAGATTTGCTATTTTCGTAGGAACTGCAGAACTTACAAGACAAGAGGAGAGCAAGCGCAGAAACTGAAAAGAATGGAGGTTGGTTACGATTAATTATTTCGAAATTAATGCTTCTGTGATCGATAATACTGTATCCTCTATAAACGCGACATGCATACCCTGTGTCATGTTACTCTCGAAAAGGAAAACATTGACTGTCGTTTCTGCTACGTTCGTTATTTTTATTGTTCTAATTGGATAATTAATCGTAGAATACATGCATGTTTTCCTGACTCGTTATGTAGCTTCATATGGTAATTATTTCCTTATTTTTTATTAAATAATGGTTATATTTATGTAGTATTATTTAATTTTTTTATATTTGTTTTAACTTGTAATATATCACAATAAATTATATTTCTATTAGTTCTGTTTAAAAAATTTTTAATATCATGAAACTTACAAGAAGTTGTAGAATATTTGTTTTACTATATACTTTCATAAATAAGTAAATTATGCTTGCAGGTGGATGAATGCTCAGCTGGTGGTGATAGTGGTGCTGAGGAAGATGAAGATGATGCATCATCTCATGGATCTAGAAGCAATAGTAGTAGTAGCAGTATCAGTGGAAGTAGCACTTCAACTGATAGTGGAGATGATAGTGGGGAAGAACATGGCACAAGTGGCAGTGAAAGTCATAGTTCTGGGGAAGAAGATGAAGAAGAAAATGAAAATACAGAATACTCTGTTAAAGCAGAAAGTCCAGATACTCTGGTGCTGTCTGAAATTTCACATTTTGGGTAAAATTATTTTTATATTTTTATTAATAAAGTTTGTATTTCTAGAAATGGGAAACATGTATTGCTGCAAATATCAAAGTGAAATTGCCTCAAGATCTTTGTGAACATGCAGTAATTTTTAAGGAATTTCTGGATTATCCTTATATTTGGAATGAATGTCTTACTGAAAGTCAAAGGGAATCATTGTGTAACCTCCTACCAGCTTTCCCTAAGGATTGTGATGTAGAAGCAGAAACAGAAAAAACATTGCGAATGTTATTTGAACGTGAAAATGACAGGTTTAAGCATAATTAATTATTTCATAAAGTTTTTAGAAATAGAGAGTTAATTTATTTATTTAGTTCTTATATGTATTTATTTTAGATTTGGAGTAGCACCTCTAGATGCATTTCAGATTCACTTATCCGCTGGTCATTATCGACCAGATATTCGAAGAATGTGTAGTTTAGTACGTAAGGCACAGCAAAGAAGATTATTATTTGAAGAACGGAAACGGTCCTATGAGTTGGCCAGTCAGTTACTGAAATCCAGAGAGAGCTTGTTGTCTAACGCATATAAACAAGGTTTCTGTCAGCCGGCGCAACGAACGTTGTCGAAGGTTCAATGGAGGAAACCCAAACCTGCTATGGGTAAGTTAGGCTACTGCTGTGATTGATTGTAAAAAATTTTCTGGCTGTTTATACTTCCCCCACACTCCAGCCGTTTGGCAGAGAAGTATGTAGTAACTTCCGAGGGACAATACTAACAAGCAATGAACCGACAGTTGAAGAGAAAACACAACTGCGCTATTTGGAGGAACTGAATGCACTGAGGACAGAGCTCGGAGTGAGTGCAAAGTTAGCGGCCGACACAACGTCCGAGAATGAGGAAAACTATCCGCACTATCAAATGTCTGGAACTAAACAGAAGAAGAAGAAACGTTCTCTCATGGGATCTCAGGGATTGTCGATCAGAGGCTTGCAAATGAATCACGAAGATGAGACTATACGACCTGTTTTCTCCACGTTGCAACGTGCGGAATATCCTACAAACAGATCATTATTTATTCGTGAACAAACGGAGGAGATGTATCGTGAAATGTTACTTACACACAAGAAAAGAAGAGCTCGCCGTGATGTATGTAAAATAATTAAAAAAAAAAATTAATATGTACAAACAAGAAATGCAATGATATTAATATACTAACGTTTATCTATGTTTCTTTAGGTTCATCCAGAGTTAAATACACAAGGTATTGCCCTTGCTGATTTAACTCAAAGAGCACAAATTGGACAGAAGCACAAACTGTCAATAGGACCTTCTATACGTATCACACCTGCAAAGAAACGAATAAAATTGGAGCAGTCACCACTTTGCCCACCCGCACCAAGATTAATAAATTCCAATTCAATAAAACATGAGAGCGATAACAGTGATTATTCTCATACAACGGATGAAAATAGACATTCCAGTACATTGGATATGGATCATAGGATGCTAACGCCAATAAATTCAGAGCCAGTAGATGCATACGAAATGCATCAGATATCAAAGAAGAAGTTAAGTCCTGCTACACCGAAAGGTAGTAAATCTTCCATGATAACCACACCAGAAATAAAAAAGGAAGTGGAAGATATAGAGTATGATGAAATAAAAACGGAACTTAGTACGGGAGTAAACGAAGACGCACCACCAGAAACAGAAGAAGAAGAAGAAAATGATAAAAAGGAGCTTGATTTGGATAGCATCGACATGATGCAGCTTCCTATACAACTTGATGATGGAATTGACATATTGGATGATGTCAAATGTGAAGATGAAGGAGTTATATCGATACCAGACAAAGAAATTACTGTCCCAATTAATGAAGATGCTATCGACATTAATAGTGGGGCAGAATTAATGCAAGAGACTCATGCTTGTTTTTTCTCATTGTTAAGAGATGCATTCACCTCGAAAGGTGAATACAGAATGAGTGCAATAGAAATGAAAGATGCTATTACGCAGTGGCAAGGAAATCCCATTTCGCCGTTAAACGATTGGTACTCTCTAGCATCTTCTTGGCCAGCATTGGTGCCACTAGCTTTGGGATTTCTTGCCGGTGAACTCACGTACACTCTAGAAATAGGAGATCGGCAAGAAAGAGAATCAGAACTTGTTCCTTATTTAGAAAATAAAGGAAATGGTCTCTATGCGTGGATTGGAGCCGGACGAGACTCGGATTCTCGTCTTTCAGATTTATGTGCGAAATTCTTAATGCACAAAGATTCATTAGGTCTACCAACTGTAATTAGCTCTTGTTCCCTAGTAGCTGTGAAGCAACAAACTCAAGTGACTCAAGTTAGTAATAACAACGTTAACAGTAGTTCTGGAAATGTAAATGTAAATTCGAGTGGCAGAGACAGTAGTCCAGCGATAGAATCGATTAATGTCGATGGTGGATCCATCAATACCGTTGCAGAATGGGAACCACCTCGTGCTTTATGGCCCACGGAATGGAAAGTCCGACAATCCACGACAGAAGAACGAGAAGAATTTAGAAGGCAAGAACGTATGCGTTATGCTGCACCTCATAAAGCATTTACCTACAGAATGCACGGTTATGCTTCCGTCGTAGGTCCTGTGAAAGGCATTTATCAACATAATGTCGGTACGTTTGATTGTATAATTTCTTTATTAAAGAATTATTAAACATTATTTATATTTTATTTAATTCTTGTAATAGCTTCTGGTTTAACTAAGGCTCGTGGACATTCATTATTAGTAGCAGATCGACCAAATTTTGTAACGATCTTAGCCTTAGTCAGAGACGCCACTGCTAGGCTTCCTAATGGAGAAGGAACTCGAGCTGATATTTGTCAATTACTGAAAGATTCCCAATATATTAGGGAACAAACAGAGAGCGATGATAAGGAAGGATATTTACATTCTGTTGTATCTGGCGCTTTAGACAGATTGCATTATGAAACGGATCCCTGTGTACGATATTATCCACGACGCAAGGAATGGCTTTATCTTCATCGAGCACGTTCAGAATCAGAGTTTGGTTTGTACTTATTTAAACGCATTATTTTTATATTGTATATTTTATAGATGACATAATTTTTCTTTTTCTTTTATAGAAATGTATCATCAACAGCTACAAGGTGTTGCAAAGAATAAGAAAAATGTTGGTAGCATGTCCCGGAATAAAGCACTTCCGCCAGTCATAAAGCCTGCTAATGTTAATAAAGAACAACCTCCCAATAACACTAAAGAAACAACACCTAAAAAAGAGAGAAAAGTTGGGTCAACTACCCAACCTGTTATCTCAAGGTAAATATCAAGTTTTGTTTTATAAACAAGATTTTGAATAACGTTTCGGTTGTTTTTTAATGATTTTCGTGACATTCTTATTATGTTTTTTAATAGGAAAGAGCAAAAAAAGAGTGAAGAAAAAAATCTAAATGATCATTCTGTTACCGCGGAACAATCTGTTACTGTCACGAATGTAGTAACAACAATCAGCACGCCAGCGACTTCAGTAATTTCTATGACAGGGACTACTGTTCCGACTACGTCTCAGCCAACTTCTTCTACCTCCATCAACACGATTACCGTAGAAAAAGACGTAACAACTAATGAAGTAAAACCACAAATTACTACAAGTACTCCGGCGAAGAAGGCTACCAATATCGGTGGAAAACCGGTTGCTGTTGTGAAAACCAGTGCTCAGAGTTTATTACAATCAAATCAGCAACATTTTCCGCACCATCAAATTCAAGTATCAACATCCGCTGGTTTACAGACTATTCGATTATCTGGACATTCTGTTTTACATTCTGCTCAGTCTGTGGTAGCTAGCAGTGCTTCTAACGTGACAAATGTAACCACCAATTTAACTACTATATTACCTCCTGCTAAAGTACAAAGTCAACAACAGCAACAGCAGCAATCACAACAACCGCAGCAGCAACAACAACAAACAATAGTAACTAACCAAGCTGGTAAAAGTATATTACAAACTGCTAATATAAAACAACAACAATCTCAACAGCAACATGTGCTACCAGGAAAGACTTTGCTAACTTCCCAAATAAAATTGGTTAGTCCGGGTCAGATTAAATCGCTCCTCACGGGTCATGGACTTCAAGGTCAGACAATATTTATTAAACAATCATCACCCTCCAGTACTCAGTCGCAACAAATACAACAGCAACAGTTGAAAGTAGGAATTGTTTAAATAGTTCATTATATATATATATATTTTTTTTTACATATATTAGTATTTTTATTTTGTTTTGGTAGCAACAACAACAACAACAAATCCAACAGAGGGTTGTTACCAATCAACAACAGTCAATACAGACATCGGGTATGCAACGCATAATTGCGCAGATAGGAGGGAAACCAATTGCAGTGCAGATTCAGCAGTCACCGCACCAACAACAACAGCAGCAACAAAAAATACTGGCGAAGGTTTTAACTAGTTCTGGTAGTGGTCAACTTATCTCGGTAGAAAATCTTCTTGCTCAAAAGGGATTAAAATTGGCAACTACAGCTAGCCATGCTAATCAATTAAGTAGACAAGGAAAACAAGTTATACAAACTCAGTATCAGGTACAGTTTTAGTTAAATGTGTTATAACTTCAAGTTTCAATCCAAAATTGTTCTTCTATTCAATATTTTCAATATAATTTTTAGGTAGTGTCGCAAGCGCAGACTTCTTCAGGCCAATCTAAAATCATAGCAAGCACGCAACAACAGCAACAACCACAACAAGCACAAACTGTTCGAATGGTAACAGCTCAATTAGCTGGAAAGCCAATAGTTTTAGCAAGTGGTAACAAAAATGTAGGAGTTGGAGTAAGCAGTAGCGGAAGTGTAGTACTCGGAAAACAACAACCATCACAGCAACAACAGACTCAACAACAGCCTATCATTTTACCGAGTCAATTGCTTAATATCAAAACATTACATGGCTTGAAAGTAATACCAACTCCAGCTGGATTGAAAACCACAGGTGCGGCAGTATATGCGCGAGTTATTGCTCCAACTACCATAACTTCGTCTCAATCGACGGGGAATCAACAGCAGACTATTCAAACACAGCCATCAAGAAACAATACTTACAGTACACCTTGACAGAATTGATATCACATTCTTTTTTTATTTATCCTTGTTCCCAAGTTATTTTAATTTCCTGTAGTTTGGAATTTTGCAAAGAACACATGATTTGTATGTATAAAAACAAAACAAAAAAAAAAAAGAAAAAAAGCGTAATAAAAGTTAGTGAAGCTCGTACGTAGGATTACGTTACGTTATATACTATGTTATTTAAATTTGGTGAAAAAAAAACTGAAAAAAATCGTCCAGTTTGTTCGACACACTAATCGGGATCAAGGCATATAATACTATATCGGGACATTTAAAACGAGGACATACGTGGTGAAGTTTTTTAATATTAAGTGTCGAATTATTTACAAATGCATGGTACGATTTTAAATACAAAAAATACCGTTTCTTCGTTCTCTTGTATCAAGAAGATTCTTACAGCGTTGCATGTAACGCATAAATAAAACTTATTACATAACGGTACATTATTTAAATTAGTTTTTACAGATTCTCTTTGTGCGTTGTTTCTACGTAGTAGGAAGATTTACTATGAAATACCTAGGTAGCAATAGCCACCGCGTCTTTGGTCCATTTTCTTGTGAGAGGATACTGTTTAGAAGATATTGTAATAGAAACGATCCATGTACAAAATTTCATGGAATATGTAGTATAAAGTCGTGGAAAAAAATATGAAGAAATATACACCCAAGCGAGAGGTGCACTTATGTTTCCAAAATTACGAGCACATAATATTAATTAATTCAATATCCTCTTCGTTTTAGCGTCAGAATGTTTTTCAAAACAAAGGTCTGTACAATTATGTTTCCTCAGAATTTCGTATATCTTGGAATATATCTATTAGATTATTTACTCCTATCAAGTATCCGTCTTCGTGGTTCCCTACTTTCCATTCAGCGTCATGACAAATTCTTGGTAAATGTTGAGGCAGAGGTAATGTTTTTGCAAAATCAATCATCCAGATACCGGCATTTTTGGCATCATGAACAAACAACAAGCTAGACCCGACGACTTCATGTGAAGCAAAAAACGGTGATACTTTCAACGTGGTCCTAATCGCTTTTAGGCGTTGGATGTACTTGGGTACTGCGTGCGGATAGCCTTCTACGAAACGTCTTAACGCCTCTGTCACCTAATTAAATAATCGATTTAAAATCAGATTATAATTATGGTTTATTCATTTGCTTTGTAATTATGCTATTAACGAACTTGTTCTCGAGTCCTTGTCGTTTTGAAGTCCTTTGATGAGCCTCCGTGAGCAAGTTTTATGCCTTCTACGCGAAATCCTAGTGTAGCCGTGCTGGAAATCGTTTCACGCCAGACCATGTATCTTGGTTTCGTGACTCCTTGTACGCGACGTTCTTCGGCACTCGGTGCGGTTGGATCCACTTGTACCATTTTTTCATACATGTCTTTTCGTAACTGCAATAAAAATAAAGCAATTTATTTACGAATAAAAACAAAAAATTAGGTAATTCAAGTCCAATTCTGTTTTATCGATTTATCTTTCATGACACTTTTTATAGCTTATTATTAATGGTCACTAAATATACCTTAGGTCTTTCCTTGGCTTTTGCGAGTTCTGACTCCAGATATGTCCTGACTCCAACTTTACAGTCCATTACACAGGGATGTTCAAAGTCTCCGAGAAGATCTTGCAGTTGCAAGTAAGATGATACCACGGTTCTCTTAATTATAGAGTCACCACTACTATCCTTCTGAACAGTTTCTCCTGCGTCAGTCTCTTCGACATTCCCTTCCTCCGTATCTTTTACATCTAAGACACCTTTGAACTCTGGTACGTACGGTCTCAATACATCGTTCATTAACAAACGGAAGCAAGCTTCTTCTTGCGGACAGAGTTTCTTTAGAATCGTCCCTGGAGTGCGTCCCGCTTTGAAATTCCCTTGATGACCCGCTAGTTGCACCTGAGATTATTAGTAGAAGACTTTTCTATTAGAAATTTTTGGTAGAACTGATAATTGTAGTTACTAAATAGTCTGTCAAAGTTCAATTCTTATTTTATTATTTGCTTTATTATTAAGAAACTAGTAATTTTGACTAATTCTTAATTAATTTTGAAGGGTTTGATACAGTTTACTCACCCATGGATATCGTTGTTTTTTGTAGGTTTGGAAGAAAGGTGTCCAATGAACGATATTCCTAAGCTTCCTCCAGCCTGATGACTGAAACAAGTTCAAACACATATCTCTATTAAAACAACCTCTTTTATCTTTTTCATCATAGCCACAAAATTGTGTTCTAATCTCAAGGTACATAATAGTTCTAAAGGAGATTGTTGGCTTTACAAAAAAAAAAAAAAAACGAAACAGATTTAATTTATTTGGAGAGTCATCCTTTCCCGTTGTTACCTTCGGTATCTTTTTTTCGTTCGACCTATCCGTGTAATCAGAATCCCATTCAGAGCTCAAATCGTCACCACTGCCTTCTCCCCATTCCAAATTAGTCTGGGGCACCTCCAACAACTTTAGGTACTGTTGGTACCCCGAACAATTGTCCAAACAGGGCTTCTCTCCATTACTTTGACATTTAATGCACTTGTTGCACTTGAAACTCCTTTTATGAACCCTATCATTTCTCAAATTATTCACACTGTCCTTCTTGCTTTCATTCTCTTCCAATTTTAAATTACTTTTTTCCTTATCCTGATATTCAAGAAAACCATTCTGCAGTCTCTCAGTCATACAATTCTCTTCGTTTTTACAACTTTGATCAACTTCCTCGGAATTATTAGATTCAATACCTAATTGGCTCGATTTATTCTTTTCAGAAGTTTGATTGCTATAACCATCCTTGGATTTTTTTTCATTCTGCGCCTGTTCTTGAGATTGAGAAGTTATAAATGACGGCGATGGACTTCTAGAGGAAGATTGTGAGCGACGATCGACAATACTCGAAGAGAATCGTCTCGAATGCCTCCTATTTCTCGACCTGACTATCTTCCTCTGGCTTAGAGATCTTCTGTCGCATTCGTCTATATCCACATTATCTTCCGGCGTCGATTTTGAACAGATCACTATTTTCGGTATCATTATTCTATCGTAAGCTTTCTGCATCTTTGACTCAATTAGTTTTCAATAGCAATAAAGCTTACTTAGCGCAATCAATTATTTTAAACCTTGTTACCCCCGTCCAAATCTTGTTATTTCACCGAAATGAATTGTTTCCAAGGTCTTGCGTGAAAGAATTGTACGATAGATACTGGTTTCGAGGAGAGTTATGGTTTTGACTCATTGTTAGAAGAACAATTCCACGGCGGAGCAACGTTGAATGTAAGCAGCGACGTGTCCCAGTTCTTCGAATGCCGAATTGGATGCTAATGAGCCGCACGTCAATGGAAATTATTGAAGAAGGCTTTCACGCCTTCCTTTGAGGGACGTTGTAGTTATGACAGTCACCGAGAATCTTTTCTTTCAGAATTTTTCAATTCTTTGGACTATCCTCTTCGAATGAGCTTCCCAACTTCAAATTTTGTTCTGGGACGTCCAACAAGTTTGTCTCGCAATCTTCAGATCTGTTCTGTGCTTCTTCAAAATTATGGACTTTCCTCATCCCTGGAAAATACAGTATTTTCTTTGATAATCTTATTTTCAATTTGTCATATTTCTTTTTATCTTTAGATATTGTTATACCATCTTCAAAATTCTTCAGTGGAACTTTCACAATTTTCAAAATCCTTCTTCGACTCAAAATTCTTCTCTAGAATTTTAAACAGAATTTCGAGAAGAAAGACATTTTTTTCTGTGAATTTGTAAGATAACTATAGTTTTCCAGTGTAAAGATATCACTCGAATAAAAAACGGTGACTAATGATTAGGCAGTGATTATACCTAATTATTCCCGATTATAATTGGTAATCATTGGGATACTTTCCCTGTTTTAACCGGCCTCTATCCCGTGCGTCACGAGAACAAACGCGGCCACGATCATCGTTCTCCGGGCGGCTCTGTTAATTGGTAAGCGGTTCGACGCTAGTAATTATCTTAATGATGAGCTGCGACTGAATCGAGACACTTGGATCGACTGGTAGCCCCGTCCACCCACGTTGAGACCTCTTCTTCGAGCTGAAAGCGAGCTGGAAAGCGTCACAAGCCAATGCGTGTGCTACTTTTTTATTCAACGCTCGCCGCGTGCTTCTCGATCATTATGCAAAATTCCTTGCCTCTATAATGTATCGGATATTCTTTATTTGCTTTCAAATGAATTTTAAAGAGATTCTACAAAATTTAACCTGTTTTATCGATTGACTCCTGCTGAAAATATTTCTTTACTTATTCTTATGGTGATATGTAACAATTTGATTTCTAAAACGAAAAATAATTATTTATTTTTAACCTCCCGTGTTAAAATTCTTTTTAAGAATTGCCTTTTTTTTAATTATCTTGTTAAAACACAATTCTTCCTTACTGTTTTTCTTACTTCTATGCATTACGAATGATGTGTTTCTCTCTTCAAAATTGTCAGAGATACTTTCTTCGCTCTTTCGATTTTCCTTACACCAAATTCCCTTCTCCCTTTTCAACTGCACTGAATAAATTCTTCTATCAACTTGATGTTCATCGTTTTATTCTTCCAGGTATAAATGCGAACTCCTATTTTCACCAGGAATTCTTCGATTCTTCAACCAGACACAGTCTGCATAATTAATTAAGTAATTACTTTTATCAAATGACAGAATATATCTATTTTTAAAGAGGCAAAATTTTGGAACACAACAATTGTTTATGGTAGACTTACAGTCAAATTCCTGAATTTAGCACATACAAATGAATCACCATGCAGTTACGTTTGTCAAGTTTCGATGGATCTTCAGAGTAATCGTCGTTTACGTTCCACGATTGGTCGATTACGTAATATCGTTGAAAAGCAAACGTGACGCTTTCCAGTCGCAACACACGCAAGTCCTCTTGAGCGTTCCGTTTCGAATTTTTCGCGTTACTCGCGTGCTTCTGTGACTCTGACTTTGGAGAACGAAATTATTTTAGAATTACAGTCTTTATTAGGAATAAGCATAACAAGTGCCTCTTTCAAATTAATTAAGATGTAGCTTTTTGACAAAATATTCGTGTTTAAATCGGTGTAATATTAAATTTCTTTCCAATTAATTAGGTATGGGACTCGGTAAATTGCAATGACATCTTGTTTATATATAATCTTGTGCAAATCGATTCCAGTAGCGTTGATCGTAAATTTATTCAAATTATGCCAGATATTAATTCAAGACAGAATCGAAGATTGGTTCATTGGCACGCTGAATGAAGCAGGATCACGAATCGAGAGCACGTGCCTCAGCTTTGTCAATCGCTGTTACGTAAAAGAAACCTCGATAGTGTTCCTCTGGACCATATTACCTAGCGAAAATTACCCATGCAAGCGAATCTTATCATGCGTCCGCTCGCGAATCTAAGGGACTTCCGGTTGTGGTCCACTCACCGATAATAACTATGATTTTCACACGGTATGATTTTCATACTTAACACAATAATTATTTTCCAGTTCCTCCTTGTATCCGTTCAAACACTTGTAGACAATCAATTTACTTGCAATCTTTTCCAGATGGTCGTATAAACGTCTAAAGTAATTTATTAATGCCAATTTATTTCTTCACAAAGTTTCTCAGTAAACTGTAATTTTCCAGGGTACTCGACGGTTTAGGATCAATTGAGATCATAAAGATGATTGTCATTAAAAGTGTTAAAGTACGTGTACTCTTCAAATCTAGCTTTGAAAGATTGAAAGATCCAAGAAAGAGTGCAGCCTCCAAACCTCTTAATGTCTTAAGGTTCTTCCACTAAATGTTTCTTCTTCCAAATTACTCCACTTTCAAGAGTATCACCGTCTACCAAATTTCCTTCTCGTTGATCGAAACTTCAAGTCACTGATCAAACGACTATCGACAATTATTCTTCTGCTATGTACACTTGATCACTGCACAGATAATCGTTGTAATTCGCAAAAGAGAACGATCAGTGAGTAAAAGCGTATTCTTCGACCTCGAGCATCGTCACCGCGATTGTTTCGTCGTGGAATCGAGAAGCTTTCGAGATAAGTGGCTTTTTGGATGGATTGAGTAACCTTTTCTTGTTTTCAAGCGTAAATCCAGCGGAACCAATTCGACGACGATTGAAATGCGTCATCAACTCATTAACTGACGCTCGCGAGCGTCATTAGTGTAATTATCAGGAGTGGACAAAACGCTGGGGCGATCCAGAGGTCGACTGGCCTCTACGATTGACCGGAAGTCCACAATTCTATATGGAATTTTACATCTTTATCATATGTTTCAAAATTTTTAAGAAACGCATATATTTTCATAAACAGGAAACAAGTTTGGTTTTTGCTAATTTCCTGGTCTACGAAAAGTTTATTTAAATTACCTTGTCCAAGAATCAGCAATCTCCTTCGATTTTGTTTTACATCGCAGTTTTCATATTAGGCTTATAATTCACAGATATTTAGAATTTTATTTACTCCTTCAATGGTCATGTCGGGTATATTCTTCACGAAAAGGTGACAATTTTTGTTCAATGTCGGGTATATTCGTCATGGAGAAAAAATAATTTGCTTTCGCTGTTTAAAGTACAATATAGGTGAAATTGAAATATATTCGTAATTTTATCACAATTTAGAATAATAATATTTGATCATTTAATATAAATACATTTTTAATTTCAAATATTGTTTCCTTTACGAATTAATCAAATCTTAAATTCAATAAATGATATTAACCTATAAATAATAAAAATATAAATTTTAAAAAAACTAACAATATTCTTTATATTGTTATAATTCCTTTCAATTTTACAGCATAGTGCACTTACTGTTTTCGTCGAGTATACTCGGCGTCGCTTAAAAATAATTAAGTGTACAGATGTAGACTTTCGAAATTAAAAAAAACACTTAAAGAATTAAGAGGGCTGGTCATTCTGCGAGCTCTGGACGCCGAGTAACAATTCATACAATAAAAGATCAACACGGAGTAAATTACATACTGGAGCTATTTTCTGATTCAATTGTGTAAATACCACTGGAAGAACTACGGTAAGAACCTGAAGAGGAATTAAACGGTAAATGTAATATTAGCAGGTTCGTTTCAAGAAACAATTCTTTCTATTTTTAAGTACCAAGAATGCATCAGACTGGACAGAAAAGAATGCAATAGAACAGAAAGATTCTATTGGGAAAGCGGCAAAAAGTGCTAACTAACTTCATCTCATCAAATGCAACATCGTATAGGTTATGTCCTTCTTCGGATCTCTTTTCTTCCATCGAGTCTCTACGTTTCCATGAGAAAAACATCACCCACGCGTGTGTCGCATTAAACGAGCACAAATGATTTTAAACGGGACGTTTAATTATTCAATTTCACGCGTTCGACGATAAACGTCGAACGATGAATTCGAGTATACGGCGTGTCTCGTTTGGTTGCGCAACGATCACGTAGAAATTGGGTCTCCGTGCGTGCGCGCGCAAGCACATGTGACATTTATGGAAATTTTACGGTATTCATAAATTCGTACACGCTTTATCATCAGGGTTAACGCGCCTCCGCTTCTTCTGTTTTCGACGTCTGTCCCCGCGTCATCTCTTTTCGAGCTGATGAGCTTCGTCATCTCTTTTTAAGGAGAACTATCGAGTAATGGCTTATACTTTAATTTTCTGAGGTTATAATTAAAACTGTCCCTGAGAAGGCGATAAGAGAGACAACGAGGTGAGAAGGTGTTTAGAATTTGACCTTTAAAGACAAATTACTTGATATAATTCTTTAAGACAAGTACATATGCGAGTTCAGAAAAAAGGATATGATACGTTTAAATTTATGATTTACTAGCTTTTGATTAGTAGATTAGATTATTAAAAATTTTGTATTCGGATAAATGAATAAAACGGAAAGTATCTGTTTAGGATTAGGTCTTCAAAGAAGAATGGCTTAAAAGGACTTTTTGAGGAGCGTACAAAATTCGGGAAAGGAATTGGATCGAAGAAAAAGAAGAAAAGAAACGAAAACGAGAAACCCTTGACCCAGATGCTTTGCGTCGAAAAATATTCGATAACAGGGTCCAAGGCTCATGCGTCGCGAAAATCACTTGTGTTGGTAAAGATGTACAATTAAATGGTAGTAGAATGACATCTAGATAATAAATTTCATTTACAGATGAAAACTACTTTAAGACGATATCGACCTAGATAAAAAGGAAAGATATATAAGGATAATACCATGGACCAAATGTTTCCAAAAATTACACGAATTATACAAACTTTATAAAATTATTTCTACTGACATTATACGAAAAACATTTTGTCGTCAGTAGCGATTCAGTCTCCAAACTTCGGATTCGAGATTTATAGTATACTTGAACTTAAAGTACAACATAATTTTTTGTCAGAATTAAAATGTAATTATACAATTGCTTTACTATGATTCCAGGTTCGAACTTGATATGAAATTCCAAGACTTTCTTCTCAGAAGCTAAACTATATTCGAAATTAGATTACATCATGACTTTTCCATCACCCGGTGATCCAACGTTCACTTCCACTCCCATGTGGAGAATTTTCCAGCTTAATTGGCCGGGACGTAAGGGAATTCAAGACCGTTCTTTTGAAGAAAACTAGAACGCGATCGAATGGTGAACGAAGGTGGCCGATTAAGCAACATGAGATCGAAAAGGGAACGGCCGATAATTGAGGCTGCACCGCCTCGCTGGGACCACCGACCATGCTTCGTAGAATTACAGAAACTCGATGAACTTTGAAAAAAAAAGTCGGCCGCAGATGACCAAGGAGGGACTTGAAAGTGCTTAGACCTGGTCGTCGATTGAGATGTGATTGGTCAATCGGTTTTCTAATCGATCATCCGGCTGTTGACGAGCCTGCATTTAATTACTCGACGAATTGTCTCTAGGCATACGGAATGAGAGTGAAAACGATATCGATCGATTTCGAAACTGCTTTTCGATCGTAGATCAAAAAGTTCCTTGAGGCAATCGATATTTATTTAAGGTAGAATATTGTTGGCAAATAAATTGTATCGAGATACTTAACATAAAAATTAATTGTTCCTTAGGTTCGATCCAATGTTAGTTTATGCTGAATTGCTTTTAGCGTAGCTAATTGTCAGATGGTTTGTATATTGGTTCTTGTAGTTAAGGTATGATTAAGAGCTCCAGCATGTTGGCACAGCAGTAAATAGGCGGTAATTAAAAAAGGAGCGGAGTGGAAGTGAGCCTAGAGGGTAGAATTGGTCAAGATCTGCGTAAGCACAAGTTGCGTTAATAAAAAAATACCTTAATTACTTTCACAATTGAGTCATAGTAGTAACGATACAATCCCTTTATTATATAACAATTGGCACAAATTTTCATATTGAAATAAACTCCTAAAATTTCTGAAAACTTTCATCCTGTTATAAGAAATGACAACGTTTCTTTCCTTTCTAAACCAACTTCTAACTTCCATCATAATCTCACAGGAACTGTCCTTAAACAACATACCTTTTTCCTACCAACCACCGACAGACTCCGTTGATAGTTATCAACGATTCCCAACAAACAGTCGTCACACTTGCAATATAAGTTCCCACTGGATGTCGAATCACTGGATAAGAACGAGTTATAAGTGCTGACGCTAGTTTGACTATCCATCGAATCTGTTCTTCTTAACAGAAAATTTCTTTTCTTCTCTCCAACTCGAGCATCTGGTTCACAATTATCTTCATGGAGGTTTTGCTTTTCAATTTTTGCTAGAAGCAGCTGCTCCATTAGATTTAAAGTTGGTGGTGTCGATAACGTGGGCGATGCTGGCGTCGTCGAAATGTTACTTTTTAAATTCACAGTATCGCTTTTCTTTTCTTGATCCATGTTGGTCGAGCAGCGTCTTGCAGTGATTTACGTTACTGAACGTAGGTTCACTCCACTCTGTCCGGTCTGCTCGGGTTTACGGGCCTCAAGATCTCTTTGCAATTCAGATTTCTCTTGTTTTCGTGCTGTGCACGCGCGGTGCATGGACTCCTAACAGGTAGCAGGGAGATTATTGTAGAGTTTCTTCTGTGAGCTCTGAGTATAAATGGCTAGATTCTAAATTGTATAATGTTCTAAGTTCCTTGGAATTCCTAAGTTTTCTTAGATTAACAATTTCTTGGATTCTAGACTCGAAATTCCTTGAGTCTTAGATATCACTGAATTTCAAATTTTGTCATTTTTTGGATTCTAAATCTTCGAAACTTTCTGAACTTTAGATCATTTCGCATTCTCTTTCAATTCTAGTTCTGAATCCTCTTGAACCCTGATTTATTTGAAATTCAATATCTTTTTAAGTTTAGACTTCCCTTAAGTATCAGATCCTTTACTCCTTGGTAATTAAGAAAAATAAATAAAAATTCGACAATATACGTTAGAGCACTTATAATAGTCACTTGGTCTAACTAATCACTACACGATTTGTCCCCACAAACAATAGGCTTAATCACTATTAAAACCTCCATTAATCTACGCCACGAACCAGTTCACGTCTCAGGTGAACAATGACTAGTCCGATCCTTTTCACCGTTCTTCCATTCACGACCACCTGCGAACTTTTGTCACCGACCTATATAGTCTTCCTTCTCTCTAATGGCGCATCGCATCATCGACCTTGACGCGACCAAGGTTTCGATTAGTGCCGCGGGAGAGCTACCACGAGGATCAATTTCTGCCAACCTATTCCTCATCATATTTGAGACTCTACTAAACTCAAAGTGATTCAATTGCCCGAGGAAATACAAAATGTTACTGTAACTTGATCCGTGTTTTGCACAACATGATTCTGTTAAAGGTAATTAAAAGGAACAGCGTGCAACTTGTGCCTCCTGAGAAGGCTAAATTCAATTGCTTACGCTCTATTTGTGCTTTCTCTTCCACCACTGGAAAAGTCTTTGGAGGTGGCTTCCTCAAACTGAACTAACTTTTGGACCCTAAAGTAGTATTAGCGACTACCTTTTGGTACTAATTAGTCGACAATCAATTGAGAAAGAAAATGAAAAACACGAGGACACGTAGGATCGGGAACAGCGTTCAGGGAGAGGCCCGGTTGCACAGTTTTCCTCTACCGACCCGAATTGACCGCTTCCTGTTATAGTAGCCTCCACGATATAGCGAGCTTCTAAATTAAAGCACCAAGTAGCGACTCCGATTGATGCAGTGTCACCCAGGGCCGCTTATAATATACTATTTTTTTTAATAGAGCTGAATCAAGACTGAGGTATAACTAACACAATCTTAACTGAACTTCTGAGCCTTTATCCTCACAAACTTCTTTCAATTTGCTCGTCAAGACGTTCTTGAATATGTAAACTTGGAAGTTAGTTCGTTAATTGATTAATGTTAATTACCTCTTTAATAATAGAAAGATCAAATACTGCAGCATTTGCAATAATTAATGCGCATCTTGTGAGTGATACAGAATCTGAAATCACCAAGAATTGTAATAGGTAATATATTACGGCTGTAGACAGCTTATTAATGAGTAGTTAGAGTATAAGAATACTAGGAGACCTCGGTCTGTAGCCAAGTGCTATTCTTGGTTAAAGGTGAGTGAACGTGCTTTCTCTATGAATACTCTAATTAAATTTTTTATGTAAGAATTCATTGAAATATCTGAAGTTGTCTGCACTATTCATCTACTCGTTGATACGATCAATCAGTAGTCACATGATTAGCTTCTCTTAAATTGTTGCAGCTGACTACTTAATCACTACGAACATTCCTGAGGTTCTCTTTTTCTCAAAATACTTACACAGATAGTATCCATTCTAGGCCAGTAGCTAGAAATAATTTATTATCATTATTTATTGTATTAACACCTTCGACTCATACCTTTACAGTATGTACTCTACTGTGGTGAAACTGGTACTTTGAAAAACAGTTACAAACTCGAGAAACCGATATTGCTATTGGAAATTCTAGGAGACATTTCAATTAAACCAAGGATCTTTTTCGAGAGGTGAAAACCTGAGGGATGGAAAAAAGAAATTGCAGTAATAAAAGGTTACAAAAGGGATAAAAGAAATTTTAGTAATAATAAAAAATAAAAAAACACCACAAAGGCAAGAGAAGAAATACCAACAATTAAAAGCGGCTTGCAGGAGCTATAGACATATACAGATGTTTATGTTTCTCTTCGTCTCGAAGAAAAGTACGATTGTTTTTGAAACCAGCATTCAGGCAGATCGTCTAACTTGGCAGGAAACTAAAGGTATTCAGTTACATCCTCCCCGCACTGTCCTCTTGCATAATGAACTAGTATTCGATTTGCTGATTGACGTAATGTATTTGCCTAGCTCTTGGTCATCGCAAATACTTTCCAACCTGAGTTCGAATCACAATAGTTCGGTTTTTTTATTCATGTTTCTAATCATAGAATTGTGAACTACATGAGTGATATCACATCGTGATAAACAGAAAGGTGCAAAGAAGCTTGATGATTAATAGCGATTTAAAATTACTTCGCTTACTATAATAAAATACATGTGTAGTTGAAAGAGAAAGGGAGAAGAAATGGATTGAAAAATAATAATCATTGTAGAAATACCACTATTGACGATCTTCCGATTAAATTAATTAATTACATTATATTATCTAGAAAGATGACTACAGGGGCACGTGGAACGATTGCTCAACATTCTATATAGTTCCGACGTAACATCACGGAGGAAACTATACGAAATTGTACACCGCCATTAAAGGATTCCGATGGCCGTTTGACATATGACGTATTTGAATAACCTATCTAAATTTCTGTAAATTTTCTATTGTAAGATAAAAAGATTTTTATATATACCTTATGTCAAACAGCAATTATTCAAGTTTGCCGTTGTTATCATTTCGTGGGAGACTATATCTGCAGTTTGTTGTTGTCAACAAAAATCGCATAATGTGTTTCAATTTCTGCGAAAGAAAAACGCAATAATTGAGGATGTTTTCTGATGAACTCAAGTAAATAAAGATACGATAATTCTTACAATTTCGTCATTCTCGTTTATATGCCATTTGAAACGAAATAATACCATTCTATTTCTTTCGATAAATCAACCTTCAAAATGAGGAATAAACAATTTGTTAAAAGTGTTCGCTATTAAAAGAAGAAAAAATGTGAGACAAACAAGAAAATGATCTTCCTTATTTATTTTTAATCAACTTTCACTGCACTTGCGTATTATCAAATTAACCATCGATAAAGAAAAATACTAAGATATGCCATCGATCGAAGAAAAAGATAAACGAGTCAAACGAGAGAGAAGGGAAGAAAAATGACAAGGATCAGGGCATACAAGTTCTAAAATGATTTTACTTTCCCTCGTGAAAAGGTCAAGCTACAGTTTTGCGACAGAAGGCAGAACGAAATATCACCTTTTTCGTGTCAGCCCGCGAGAAACAGGCGAATGTTTCGAAAGCGAGAAGCCGTCACAGAATTTTCAAGCGCCTGTGATATTATTTTCAGTCACGACTAGTAATGTTTTATTCATAACGTGTTTGACACAGTCCCTGTAGCGTACGACTTTATCGAATATATCTCCTGGCCGTTTTCTCTATCTTCAGTACCTTTGATACGGATGTTGATAAACGAACAGTTTGATAATGTACTCATTGATGATCATTCAGGGAATTTGACAATCGACTGTATCGATCAGTAATATACAATTCCAATGGAACAGAATTCCAGAAAAAAAAAGAATTTGGTTAAAATTCCAAAGAAGGATATGAGCGACAAACCCCCTTTCAATAAAAATGTTTGATGAAAAATTTAAACAACACTTATGGAAAATAAACTCATTAAAAATTGGAATGTAATGATCTATCATTCTGGAAATGTATTGTAAAGCTTTAGTATAAAGATAAGAGAAAAGTTAGATTTAGATCACTCTGAAAATAAATCCAAGTAATATGTCTTTATAAAAATCTCCTTGAGTAATAATTCAAGAGACTTGTAAAATATTGAATTATTAACTATGTTAAAATTAAAAAATTCTTATTTATTGTTTTAATCATAACAGGGATAACTTAAATAAAAACTGCGACTTAAAGTAAACATCCATCTTTATCTTTTCTTATCTTCTTCAGGATCGATTCATGAATCTACATGACGGGACGATATTTATCCGTTTCACGACTTCGAAGTATCAATCAATGCTTTGAGTCATTTGTTTTTAGGTCGTACATTACATAGGAAGTGTGACATATGGAGGAGAAGTATTAAAATTAAATTTAGTATAACCATAAAATGAATTCACACGTCTCGCCTTTTAAACATTAAATAAATTTTAATTTTTCACAGGTATTTTTCATTTCATCTACTTGATTAAAGACGTTCTTTCGGATTTTAAACGATAAAAAAATCATTGAATGATACAAAAAATTTGTCACAAATACCTTGTGATAATTATGATCGACATTCCTATGAAGTATCTCGCCAAGACTAAGATCTGCTTCGTCTCCATCGATTTTTAGAGAGTTCACCGAATGTTGTTCACGTTTCACGCGTCTACGACATCGATGATCACTCTTCGCGTGTAATAGCATGCGAGTACAATTAGTAGTGCAAAAAATCTTCATTGCAAACAAAGAAGAACGTACCAAGTCGCATAACTACTTCTATAGCTGATGAATGAAAAACTGACTAATTGTTCGACACTGATTGTAAAACTGCAAAGACATTGCAGCCTGTTTTATCGCATAGCAATTTTTCGATAAGTTTTTGTCTCACGAACACCGCCTTCTGGGGGAGTTGATTCTTATCTGATGGCAATGGATTGTGGTTTCTGATGCGGACAAAGCGAGCTACTAAGCTTCATTAAGCGGCATCTGAATGGAAAATCTATACAAATACACGTTTATCTCCTTTGTTTTCCTCTCTTGAAAACAACTTGTCTTAAAGATGATTACAATGCTCTAGTGTAGAAGATAACATCTCGAGAAATTGAGTAACTCCATTGTTCTTGGCTCTTAATTGGTCAGGAACGTGCTACTTTTTAAAAGAAATCCTTTGTTATATAAGTAAAGAACAATTTTAGTTGCTATTGAAAAATTAAACACGGTAGTTAAAGAAACTTATGTCTTAAAAAATGTTCTTGAAAAATAAAGAGTCTCTAAAGTTTCTAAAATCTACCAAAGACTTCAAAGATGAAGAATAATGTATACAGAAAGTGATCCTCGACTTCTATCGTCACTGATATATAAACTACATGCGGTGCGTTAAAAATACTCAAAATACTTCCTACTCGAATCCACCAAGCTCACATATACACACACGATATATAAGGTTTATTTAAACTACGGATCATCACGCATCCTCTTCCACGTATTCCTCGAAACAACAAACTGCTCCTCCACTTTCACTGGAATTTAATTTTTCTTCCGCAACATAGACAGCTTTTTAAGTCATTTCAAACAAAGTCGGTGAATTCTGCTTCAACTGCCTTCTCCCTGTAATTAGAAACGTTTCAGAAACTTTGACGAATGAAGTTACAGCAATTTTCGCGGCCCATTAGTAATAGTAATCTAGCTTTGAGTCCCGCAAATAAAATCGCACGTCTCACACTCTGACAATGGCAATGAGCCACTCAGTGTGGTATATCGAGTTCGCCGTGGCTGACACTGGCCGACAGATCCCTTAGAAAGCAGTGCCACCGACTGACTGACCGCTATCACTGATTCCAACTGAACTGACTAACTGTCTGTTCCATGTTGCCATGACCAAGCTAACTGGAGAGATGTCATGGCTTATACTTTTACAGCTGAATGTGCGACAGAATAGAATAGAATGGAATGATATTTAAAAGTAAAAGTCCTGTACTGACGCTTTGAATGATTTCAGATATGTTGGTCTTTTTGTATCTGTCGATGTTCTTATTTTTGCGGTGAAAATTGAAATTGAATTTAGTCGAGGATAGAACTGTTCAAGATTGCAAGTATAAGATAAAAGATAAATACTGAAGAAAAATGTTTGATTATTTAAAAAACTTGATCGGATTTGAAGATCTGAATTTACGTAGTAAACAAATCCGATTCTTCGTTTGAACGCTGAATCTTAGATATCCGAGGAAGAGCAGATTGGCGAGATGTCAGAGAATTATAAAATTTACGATGATATTTGTGAACAGTGGCTTTTTTCATCCTTGGCGAATGATAATCAAATTACGTCAATGTCGGTGTTTTTACAAAACACTGGTTCCTTTCAAAACACCGATTAGATGATACAAAAAACTTGCTTCACAGAAAGTCTATGATTATTATCAGACTAGTCAAGTAATCCTGAGTATGAATTTTTTAAGATCAATTTAATAGAACACGTGATTAAAACGGGCAACGACAAACATAATTTTATTTTTGCAGAAACTGTAAGAATTTTATATGCTGAAAATTTTGCAAAAGAGAAGCAATGAGCAAAATAATGGTTATACTAGTTGTATTCCGTTTGAATATACCAAGGCATAGCGCGGGCATTGGCTGAACCCACGCAAAGAATGCACAAGGCGAGCATACAAGTGCAAGCTGATTTGTAAACACGTTGATCTATATGTTAAATGAATAGGTAGACAAAGATAAGTATACATGTTTGTACATACCAAGGCATGCATAATAGATTCCAAGAGTCGCGTAAAAATGTTTCTCCGTCTACTACATTCTTACGTGATCCTTCTTGGACGGGAATAACAATTTACAACCACCGAAGATCTACAGCTTAAAACCTTCAGAGTCATATCTATTTCTCAGTACTCCACAATTTGTACATTTCTTATATTAGAATAATTAATCCTTTTAACAAATTTCAAAGCTCTACAAACCTCGAATAAAAAAGGAAAAAAGCAAATTAAAAATAGAAAAAAGAAATGTTATTTAAGAAAAATAGAAAAGTAGTCATTAGATAAAACTGATTCGTGCACAGACACGTTTTCAGTTCATTAAAGTTCTCTAGATAGAATAAGATGAATTCCGTGCCTCTTGACAAATGAACAGTCCGTTTGTTCGCAAACTGGAGCACAAGAAACCTAACGTTACGTAAGATAAATAATTACGAGTTTGTTCATGGGCACAACAATGTGTGTTGGCAGTAACAGTACTGGTAGTAGTGATCCGTTGCGCCAAACATAGGCTTTTTCCTTCGATCTAACATTGAAATATTTATATACCTGGAATGGAGGTATAACAGAATGGCAGAAATAGAACTATTCAACAAAAGATTTACATAAATTTTATTTATCAACTTTTCTTCTTTCTTTTCTTGTGATTTATTTTTCTCTTAAAACATGAGCATGTGATAAACAAACTTCCTCGAAAATTAATTTTTGGAGTAAAAATCAGTTAAAAATCGAACGTCAATATAGTTTTCGAAATTACACGGCCGCTTGTTTCTTTCGTGTTTTCTATTTCTTTTTCTTTTTTGCATTCTTATCATAAATGTAAGACGAATAATAATTTTTTTTTATCACTACTACTCACCTTGGAAGATTTAACTGGTTGTAGTTCAATAACGTCAGATTCATCTCCACTAAGACTGGATGTAGTAGAACAATCAGAAATTTTTCTTGTTGGGGGAATATCCAAAAAGCCAATTTTTGTCTTTTCTTGCAATTCTGAGGAGCCTTCAGATGTGTACTGTATAAATTGTGTATTGAGTTTAGAATAATAAGAGTCTGTAGAACTTAGGCAAGAATTTCTTCTATTTCCAGATTCATTGAAGTTTCTAAACAAAATTTTTATTGAAATATTAAGTATTAGTTAAAGTAACACAAGAGTTTGAAGAAATGAAAGAATAAATACCTTGAAGCAGCAGCATTCATAGAATCAAAGCACAAACAAGAATCTGAATGACGTCTGCTACGACAAACTTGTAGGAACTGATTATCCAGAGATTCGCATATTTCATCACAGTCCAAGCAAGAACAGCTACTTGCTTGGCTAGGAGTACCACTAGTCCCCTCATATTTTTCCAAATCAAGATCATTTCTTTCTAATTTTTCATCCAAATAAGAGTAATCTGAATAATCACTAACAACCACACTAGGTGTTCTCCAGTATCTAGGTTTACCCTCATTATGCTCAGACTCACTTCCCTCTACCATGTTTGAACTGTCCCATCCTGCAAAAAGTTTACCATAGATTTTAATTTATAACATATTTAACTCCTAAGCAACTTCTTTTTTAATGTATTAAAAATGACGTATTAAAAAAAAATTAAATTTTTCTTATAATTCTTAGGATTCAAAATCTTAAATATCAAGGGCATCTGTGCATAATAATAAAAATATGTTAACTTTCATATGTTTCCATTCGAAAGATTTTAATTAAACCGCCATTAGAATAAGAATACGACAGGTCAATAAAACGAAGAGTACGTAATGCGAAAAAGAAAAAAAGGAAAGGAACGATGATGTCATTGACACAGCACGCGTGGTCAGGAATCATGTTTTCAACAAGCTCACCCCTCCCCGGTTCGTCCTCCTGGAAAGAGCAACTGGTGGTATGATTCCATCCCCCTCACCTTTTATTTGATCCTCGTCGCTCAGCACTGCGCTATCGGAGCTACAACATCTAGTAACCCGTAGTTTGTGTCGTTTCTGTTGGTGTGTAGTCAACGATGTGTCCTCGTCACTGGCCGCGGTTGAATCGAGACTCCAACAACGGGCTATCGATCCTTTTCTTCGATCCGAATCTGTCTCAATACCTTCATCACTTTGTGGACTCTTGCTCAGGGAGCGTACCATTGGCATCCTAATTGTGTCAAATTCGTCATAGGTTTCGTTCTCCTCGATTGGATCAACGATGCCCTTCACAGTATTTTGTTGCTCCTTTGACTTCATTGTGACCTCGTTGTTCCCGGCGTTTTTCTCATCGAACAGACGTTCGAGACCTCGCACTAACTCGCATACTAACAAACCGGCGTCGCTCTCGGCAACGTACTGATTCTTCACGATTCCGACACGTCGTTTTCGCGAGAATTGTACGTTTGAGGATAATGGATCAGCGATCGGTTTTCGCGACAATTCCTTTGCGGCGACCGCCGCTTCCTTTGATTCTTCGCACGTTCGTCCTTGTAACAGCTGTTTTAATTGTCTTGCTCCAGACGTCAAGGAACGCTGAACGTCACATCGACCGCTTCGCTGAGAGGATATACATTGTCCTCTCAACGACACTCGGTTGTCCAACGTTCGATTTGAAATACGAGAGACGCATCGCGCACTGACTCTGAACCAATCGCGGCCGCAGCGTCGACGATAGTAGAGGCCGCCATCTTCGATTCCATGAACTACATGAGAAATAGATGGGAAACGTAGCCTGATCAATTGGCCTGGTTTGAATATTTGACTACAATTTGACTTAAAAATTTTTTCGTTACGATCTTCCGAACTATCATTTTCTTTATTTATACTTTTGTTTGTGGATGAGTCGTTTTCTATAGCATAGATTTGATCTTCATCATTATTCGACATACACATTAGGTTCACGATCTTCGTAAAATTCTCTTTTTCTTTTAATGAATTTCTTATCATATTACTCTCGATGTTGCTTTGCAATCGATTCGCGATGAGGACATCATTTGTCGAAAACATCTGACTAAAATGAGAAAAATCAATTTGAAATTGGAATACAATAGAATATATTTTTGGATTTTTACGATGACATTTAGAATATATCGTTACATTCTCAAAAAGAAATTAAAAAAGAAAGAATTTTGTATGTTTAAGAATTGTTTTCAACAATATCAGTATTTCTTGAAACGTGAAAAACATATATAACTACAAACTATATTTATGGCAGTATATTTTAAGTGACATAAATTTTTTTAGTACCAACACCGTCATTATAAGCTCTTATCTAATCTCAGAATTATTCCATTACACATAACATGTTCTCCGTATAAAACGATTATTATGAGTCTATTTCAATATTTGTTTGATTAATACTAATAAAATATTTTATTATTATATGTCTATTTCGATGTTTAACCAATGATTAATTATAATCAAATATTTTGCCAATAATAATTAAAAAAAAATGCATCAGTAACATGATTTATGCAGAAAAATTATCTTTTGTAAAATTAAGCAGTTGGAAACGACGAGTCAAGGACCGTATATCCGGGTCGGAGAAATGCAGAGGGAGAGATGCATGGAAGGTATGCCAGGGTTGCTTCTTGCTCCTTCGATTGACGTCATAAGTGCGTCATTGGAAGCAAAGAAACAAGAAAGTACGATTGAATGATCACGGTTTCAGCAACCGTCGTGCGTACCGCTTGGTGTGGTTTGATTCTTTCTCTTTCTCGACAATCGGTCCATTATCTCGTCAGTTCAAGTGCCCCTTGGCCACTTGAGCCTATCTATGCTGCGACCGTTTCGTTCGACTCTATGTTCATTGTACGAAATAACCGTGTACAGCACAACGAGCGAAATAATGCACTTTTTTTTTATTATCTGTGCTTGCCTTTTTAATATTGTCCATACATTATTTTCAATAGGTCAGAACTGTTAGCTAATTACATCTAGTGGCCAATTTTTAAAGGAAGAGAATTATATCACAAGATCATCAGTATTTTTTTCGCCACTGGAGAAAACGAAATATAATACATAAATACAATTGTAAAGTCTAGAAAAGTATCAATAAAAGCATAAGCTGTTTTCATTTTTATTTTTTTTTTTTTTTTTTTAATTTTTGTCGACCAATCTAACATTATAGTAAAACAAATCATATTTGACAAATAGTGATAAAGAATATTTGTAAACGTTGTTTTCGACTGTATATCATTATTAAAAGAAGGATACGCTTTTGACTTTTTTTATTCGTATATTTTTTTTGCCATTAATGGAGCAAAAACGTCAATGAGCAATATAGGACAAAAGTTCTCATCATTTCTATTTAGGAAATTGAAGATGATACGAATGAAGGAAGCCTATAGTCGAGCCTAGTAACTGGGCTCATATTTATGACGAAATCGGGTCAATGTCGACCCAAGGCTAATGACTTCTTCGTTTCAAATAGGTAACGCATATATAATATAGACATATAATGTCTACATTAAATTTCAGGTAAGCAATGTTTAGAAAATACAATTTTCAAACAAATCGAAAATAAAATTATATATACAGTGAAAAAGAAATACTCAAAATTGTAGGAATTATAGAAAATTCATGCAGAATGCATATCGTTACAAACATGCATAAAATTGAAATAAAAATACATATCATCTTAAATTTTTGATTTCATTATACAATTCTTACCTGTCTATTTTGATGTATTCTGCATTTTATTCTCGATCAATAATATTAAAAGTGATTATAAACAATATCAATTACAATAAAAGATTCGTAAATCTAATGACAATAGTTTATGACAAAAAAATTTTCGTAATTAATTTTGAACACATTTACGCCACGAAACAATCAAAATGTTTTTAATACTGAAATTTGAGCAATTCAGTCAGCATTCTTGGCGTTCATTGTTGTTCGCTATCGACAGATATTAATTTTTAATCGTGGTAATTGAGAAAAGCCATATATGCAATGATTGTACGTCAATCGTAGCTGATGGCCAACTGAACTCGAGATTTGAACTTGACCACTCCGCGGTGACCACCTATACTCGAGCTCCTTTGTAAAAGGAGGGGATTCATTGCATTGAAATCGGTCTTTTAGAAAGGAAGCTTTCCACCTACAATTGATGCAAGGATCATCATTGTGACTGCACCTTTGTAATAGCTTTAATATAATATGAACTATTTACTTTGTCTCATTTTGGCCTATAAAAGATTATAAAATACCATGAAGTTCATGATTAACAAGTTACATTTTTATTGGCACTCCTATATAAAAGATCATGTTCTTTTAAATAAATTCTGAGGTCAAGTAATATACTATGTTTTACATCAAATTTATATATGTGTTACAGTTTTTTAACTATTTCTTTAGAGTACTTCATAGAATTTAATGTTTGAACGTTCAGTGGTATCTAAGGATAATGATACAAACATTTGAGATTCCTGTATAGTCTTTCCTAGTTTATAAGGTTTTATCCACTTATTTAATGATATTCCAGTTTTTAAATTTTTAAAAGTAGTTTCAATGGGCGGCCTGGTAACTAAAATTGTTCCTTTTCGAATGTTAGCTTTCAAAAATTTCCAAATTTCTATGTGTACTGATTCTGAGACAAAAAACTCAAATGGGTTGTTCATAATGATAACATCACTACTCTGTACAATATCAGGACACTCCTCGATTCTCTTATTCAAAATCTCAATACGATCATTCATGTAATGTTTATTTACTATGTCACACTGTAGTGTACAAAGTTCTTTATTCATTTCAACACCAATGATTTTTTTTGCAGATGTGAATATATGTGCCTAAAAGACAGATTTTTAAATAATATATATTTATTAATCATTGTTCCTTTGTTTAAAAAAAAAATGATAATTACTCCATATAAAACAGCACCTAATCTAGATCCTATATCAAGTAAAATTTTTCCTTCCAAAGATGGTAAAATACTATGAAATATATATAACATGGCAGGTACTGACAACGAGTGTGATATAATTTCTAAAAACAAATCCATTTTGTTTCATTTAAATAATCATATGATCAAAAAAGGAAATTTAGGACTTTCTTACTGTATGTTCTCACATTGCTAGACCCACAGTCAGCACAATATAAATTATATAGTTGCTCTTCTTCTATAAATTTATCCATCTCCGTATCATCATAAAGAAATGCATCAATATGTTTTGTTGTTTTATTATCACAATCTGAATTCTGCAGAGATATAAAATATTACATTTCTTCTATAAAACATATAAAATTGAAATATAACTCTATTTGTTTATAAAATGACAGACCTCTCCAACTGCTGGTGGTACAATGTGTTCTGTTGGAAGTATACCATCAAATGGTACTCTGCTTCTTATATCAATAATGATTTTTTTTATATCGTTTAATTGTTTTTCCCAAAAACTATATTTTTCATGAGAATTGCCTAAAACATAAAAAAAGTAATAAAACTAATAAAGTAGTATTTTATTAATTTCTTATGATACCATATGCACTATATTAGTATGTTAAATATTATACCACTTTGAGAAGACTGAATCTTTATTTCTTCAGGTTTCCAATTATCAGCAATAAATGATAAAAATGTTTGTTGATCAATATTATTTAACGATCGCATGATAGATGTGAACATTTCTATTGCATTTTGAATAGTCATGCTAGTGTTCATATCCATTAAATTAATTTAATTTTTAGATTTAAGTTAAAATAAAAAATTGTTTTTTGCTATTTACTACTCATATGCTTATGGCAGGTTATGTCGCTTCACATTCTACGGGGTGTCCCAGTAACATAAGTACAACCGCGAAGGGGGACATCTGAAGGGTGTCCCAAAATTCACGTAAGATTTGAATTTTGCGTAATTTGTGCAGTTAAGTGTTACTAACGAAAAAAAGACAGCGTGATAGCTGACAGTTCAGGGTCACCAAAAATGGAGCGTTATACGAAAGAACAACGCGTGTTCAGTGTTGAGCAATATTTACAATTTTTAACTAAAAATTTGTGTTTTGTATCAAAATTACTTCGTGCGTGAATTTTAGGGCACCCAATACATGGAGAATCAAATTAAACAAAATAATAAAATTTTTCATTGGAAGCTAAAAATAATTATTGGATATATGTGTTTTAGGACGAATTTCATACAAGATTACGTTTTTGTCGTAGAGATTTAATTGCTATGGCTAATGCTAGAAAAGATGGTAATGGTTCCCAATTCTTCTTTACTCTTAGTTTTACAACAAATTTGCGGAATAAACATACAACCTTTGGTAAAGTTACTGGAGAAACTATATATAACATGCTTGAACTTGAAGAAGCACTTGTAGATGAGATAAATTTAATGTTTACAAGAAAATATATCAAGAATTGATATAAATATAATATTTCCTTTTTCTTTGTAGAATGATAGATCACTTTATCCTCTAAGATTGATAAAAATTACAATATTGAACAATCCATTTTCTGATATTATACCAAGAATAATAATACAGAAAAATAAAAAAATAAAGGACAATTCAAAAACTAAAACAGCAGCGGTAAAGTAAAAATCATATATATTTGCAGAATTTAGCCCTGATAGTATTATTCTTTGCAATGCAAAATTTTGTTACAGAAATTTAAATCTTTTATCATTTGGTGGAGAAGTAAAGGAAGATGAAGAAGAATCTGTGATATTAAATAAAAAGTTTAGTGGTAAGAGCAAATCAGCTCATGATCATTTAACTGATCCAAAATAAATCTCACAACCAGCTGTTGAACCACCTGGACCTCCAAATAAGAAAAGGAAAAAAGTCTGTAATAGCGATTGGGAAAGTGATGATGAAGTAAAAACTTAAGAAGAATTAGAAGTTATAAATAAAGAGAAAGAGTTAGTTTATTGTTTACATTATAACTATGTTATAGAAGGTAGAATTTTTCATTGACTGTCTTATATTTATATTTTCCAAGTAATGAAGGAAAGGATAAAAAATAAATTGAGAGATATAAAAAAAGAAACGAAGAATTATGTTGTTAATAATTAACGTGTATATGTGAAACTTCCAAAATGAATAAAAGTTACATAAATACATAACCATCGTAGTTTCATTTTCTTTTTACCCAGAGCAAAATCACTCGCTTTCATCTGTGACTTAATGTTCGTCTATAATTAATTCAACAACTTTTGTAATTGCATCGTGAAGACACAGCCTCAGCGAGCCTTCTAATATAAGTCTGGATATGAATTCATTGTTATTTAATTCATTATTGGT